AACTGCGGCTCTTAGATTTGCCCTCAACCTATGGCAATTGTCATCAAATCACTTTCTAGAGATCCCATCTACTTTGCTATCATTCTGGATCATTAAGTTCTTAAGAGTAGAAGTTAGCTCTATATAAGCTGGTATTGGGGTGTTGTCTCCAGGCTTAGGTTGGGAAATTTCCCTTGCTGTCTGGCTTTGTCTGAGCCCAGATAAGTGGTCACAGATTCAACATCAAGTCTGTGCCAATTGTAGTTATAAACCCGGGCGTTTACTAAGGTGTCAATTTCCTCTCTTAAATGAGGCCTAACTTCTGAAGAGAGTGAAACCAGAGCTGTGATGGGAAAGTGGTTTTTTCTCTTACATATGAAAAATGGTGTATTAAACTAGAGGAAGTGCAAATATAATCAATAGAGGTTGATATTTTGTTGGACGAGAAAATATAGGGATATATATATACCCATCACTCAAGCCACTAAGTACTAACCTCTGGGCATATTTATTGGCCCTCTTGTCCATTGAGGACCAGGTGAACTTGTTATAAAAGTATCCAGTTGGTACCAGGCCTCGCTTAGCATGGCTCTTCATTGAGGGGCCTAGTCTTGCGTTAGTATCTCCGGCTAATATAATTTTTGCTTGGGGAAAGCGTCCCTTTAAAGTAGCTAATACTGAATCTAATTCATCCCACAAATCCCTTCCTAGAAGGTGGAGTGAAAAAGGAGCGATATATACATTAATTAAGATTAAGTCCATCCCCCTGAATGAAAATCTAAATCTTACCCTTCCATCCCGTATCCCTTTTGACCATCATGGTTAGGCCCCCAATTGCCCTCCCTCTTAAATTGACTTTGCCTGCCAGTTTATGCCATGAGGCAAAGCCCGGTAAGCTGATCTGTAGATCATTAGTAGTCAGCCAGGTTTCTTGAAGGAGGATGAGATGATGTGTTGAAATCAGTTTTATAAGATCCATCCGGTTTGCAGTGCCTTTCCAGCCAGCTATATTCCAGGACAGGAGGGAAAGGCTAGGGATGGGCGATGCCCTAGTTATTGGCCATTTGTTGTCTAGTCAATCACCCCGAGGCACTACTCCTTGTGTCTCTCCCTCCACGCTTCTGGTGGAGGGGCCCGGAATTACTACCACCGCCTTCTCTGGAGTGCCAAAGGAGTCAAAAGTGGCCTCTGATTGTTGCGGAAGTGTCTCACCCGTTCTTAGGAAATACGAGACAGGTGAGGGCAGTTGCACACTTGGGGGAGGGTGAACTTCTGTCGCTACGTTCATGGTCTTTGTTTCTTTGAAAAGTCTTTTGCCTTCCCTTCTATCCCGCTGGACGGACTTAACAACTTTAGGCCTTGCCTGAACATGCTTTCCCCGTTCTTCCAACTTGGACAGCCTTCTCGTTGAACTGCAGGCTTCTGCTAGCAAAGATCTTAACAAGTCAAATTCAATTAACAGCGACCTTTGCTCCTTTGGAGACAAGGAGACAAATTCGCTGATTATAACATCCGAAACCTGGCACTCGGGCTTATCGGTACTTGCCTTTATATATGGGACCTCCCTGGTCTGGTCTGCCTCCATAGTTTCTCCGGATTCTAGAGGAAAGACCCTGGAGGTAGCAGAGTGGTTCCTAGGTACCATTTTTGATGTTTGGTTAAGTCCTTGTAAAAGCGGTTTAATAGGCCCACTTGAGATGGCTCTTGTAGGAATGACTTCAAATCTGAGCAGGGATCCTTTTCTTTTCATTACAGCATTCGGAATAGTATTGCTGTCAAAATGCAGTATTAGTCGAACACAATTGCTATGCTGGGGAAGTTTTTCGTATCTGAGTAGATCTATTAATAAAGGATCAGATTTCAATAGCTGTGCAAGTGAGAGAATTATCCTTTCCTTTGAAGTCCATCGTCCTCTATTACATGGGATTTTCCTTATCCTTAAAGCAATTTGTTTCTTTAACAACCTTCTTCCTTGATGAGGGCTGACATCAGTACTTGCAATGCTTTGTTGTTTGGACTGAGATCTTAAACCCTTCCGCTCTCTCCGCGCATCAGGAAGGTGTGCAGTCTCACCTTCCTTAGCTGCAGGGTGAGGGTTATTTAAAAATTGAAAGATCCTCTCGATGTCTCTTTTGATCGATATCAGTAAGTCATATATTGAATCTACTGTATGTGGTTAACATGCTCTGAGTACAGACCATCTCTCTGAGGTCTGAATATGCCGGAACTTCTCTTAAACAGCTAGAAGTAGGAGAGGGGATAAAGCTTGAAAAAATCACCCGTTCTAGCAGGCGAGTTTAAATCTGAAATCTGGGAAAAAAGCTCCCTTTCTGTATCTCCCTCTCCCAATGATACAGTCGACAGAGACAAAGTTCGAAGTTCGGATTGGGGTTCTGGATTACACCTCTCCATAAAGTCATCCAATTTAAGCTGTTTAAGAGGGTTGGAGTAGTTAAACTCTGTCATAGATTTTGGGGAGAGAGAGTAAGATCTCTGCCTCTTACTTTTCTTTACCATTTTGGTAGATAATTGATCCAGTATCTCTCAGCGAAGTTAAATATCGCAACAATTTATCCTCCCTCGGCAATCGTAGTTAAAGTAGGCCTTAATGATGGTCTCAGCCGAGGCACCACAGAGGTAAAAACCAATCACCTTTCCAAACAGCGGCTTATCTTCCACTCCCACTTCTTTGCTATCTTCTATTTTCAGAATTGTTTAAATTGTTTAAATTATTTCACAGGGGAAATATGTGGGAGAAAGAAACTAAAAAGCTGATAGAGTTTCATTAAAAGCAAGCCTACCGGGAGCGTCTGCAGCCAGCATCGGCAACTAACTCATATTTCCATTTTGCTAAGGCGTATTTTTATTTTTATTATTAATCAGGATATGTGCCTTTATTATGTGCAAATTATCAATAAATATAATACAATAGTACATTAAATATGATCGAAAAAGTTCGCCAAACTGTGAATGATTTGGAGCTGGAATGGGCTAAACTAGCCAGTGTGACAACTGATGGTGCTCCTAAAATGGTAGGGTGTATGAAAGGAGTGATTGCATGCATTGAGATGGACAAACACAATCACTCACTTCCAATAGCCATACACTGCCTCATCCACCAACAAGCACTGTGTTGTAAATCACTGAAATGGGACTCTGGTGTCTTGTGTTAACTTCATTAGGGCACATGCACTAAATCAGTTTCAAGAATTTCTATCTCAGCTAAATGTTGCCTATGAAGATATTTTGTACCGCACAGAAGTCCGTTGGCTGAATCGAGGGAGTTTTGAAATGTTTTTATGACTTACTTCCACAATTTCTGCTTTTCTGCTTTCAAAAAACAAAGAAGTACTCAAAGATGAAGAATGGAAATGGCACCTTGCCTTTCTGACAGATGTAATAGAACTAATCAACAGTTTCAATGTGCAACTTCAAGGAAAGGGGAAGCTCATCTGTGATGTGAAGGCATTTGAAGTAAAATTGGACCTCCTCAATTAAACAAGTGAAGAAAGAAAACTGCCATCTCCCTACTTCTCAAAAGCTGTTGGCTGAAAAACCAATAGTTGCATTCCCAAACAAAAAATGTGTGGATTCACTGGAAATGTTGCAAAGGGAGTTTCAAATGAGATTTAAAAAGCTCCTTGTACATGAAAAGGACATACTGCTTTTCCGGAACACAGTTTCTGTTGACATTGAAATTGTTGATCCGATTTACCGAATGGAATTGGCCAAATGACAGAATTGTGACCCTCTGAAAGACAAGTCAAGTCAAGCAGCCTTACTAATTTCTATGCATCTCTCCCAGGGGTGGGTTCTAAATTTTTTTACTACCGGTTGTGTGGGTGTGGCTTATTTTGTGGGCATGGCTTGGTGGTGGTGGGTAATGTGACTGGGTAGGCGTGGCCAACTTTTTTTCTTTGTTTTTTTACTTTTAAAAGCATCTTTTCTACAACCTTAAGAGGTTGCAGAAAAAAATGCTTTCAGGAGCCTCTGACGATCAGGCAACTCAGCTGGGATCGCCAGTGGCTTTTAAAGGCTTTTTTTTTCTACAACCTCTTCGGCCAAAGAGGTTGCAGAAAAAATGCTTTTAAAAGCCTCTGATGATCCCAGCTGAGCCGCGCAATCATCAGAGGCTTTTTTTTTTTTTTACTTTTAAAAGCATTTTTTCAGCCGAAGAGGTTGTAGAAAAAAATGCTTTTAAAAGTAAAAAAAAAAGTCTCTGATGAGGTGGGTGGGGTAAGCGAATGGCGACCAGGCCGGGGACCGGTTCAGGAGCATGGCCAGCCAATGTTATTACCAGTTCTCCGAACTACAAATATTTACTACCGGTTCTTGTGAACTGGTGCGAACCGGGAGCAACCCACCACTGATCTCTCCCCTCTGAGACATATCTTCATCTCAGGAACTATGCACTCAAAATGGTAACCATCTTTGGCAGCACCTATGTCTGTGAACAGACTTTTTCCCAAATTAAACATCTGAAATCTCCAACCAGATCCAGACTAACTGATGAACACTTGCATCACTTGTTACGACTGACAGTGACAAATATGGAACTGGACATTGACTATCTCATCAGCCAAAAGCAGGTCCACACTTCTCATTGAAATACTAGTAGGTTTATGATTAAAATTGTTCACTTTAAATATTGTATTATTATTTCATGTTTTTTTGAACTACAAATAAGATATGTGCAATGTGCATAGGAATGTGTTCATGTTTTTTCAAATTATAGTCCGCCCCCCCCCCAACAGTCTGAGGGACTGTGAATTGGCCCCATTTAAAAATTTTTGAGGACTCCTGGATTAGCACTTCAATTCGGCTTTCCCCTGACCCCTTGTGATTACTGCTGCTGCAAATTGGTTTGACAGAATGACCGGTCAGACAATTTCAGGTCTGGCCCTGTTGTATTGTAGTAGTCTAGACAGGGCATCCGCTAGAAAGTTTTTTTCCCTAGGATGTAGAGCAGGGTAAAATTAAACTGATTGAAATACTGAGAGAGTAAAAATTACTCTTATGGCTGTTTTTGTCTGGCATCTATGTTTATGATTATTTATTGCCACTTATCTCACTGTGGGGCTACTCTAGGTAGCTTACAAAAATAAAAAGGAAGAAAATGAAAGGAGTGTAAACAGAAGTAAAATATCAGAATAAAATAAACGATGAAAACGAACACAAGAATATGTCAATATGATAACAGAAAGATGGACAGGTGGAGAGCAGAGAGCAAGGGATGGGGAGGTAGTTTGCCATCAATCCAGCAGCAGCCTCCAGCGTGGAACTCCATTCAGTTATGTTCTTAATTGTTTCAAATTTTATATGAGATGTTGTAAGTTTTTATAATCCTTTATAAGTCTTTATAATACCTCTTTGTAATACCTTGGTAAGACCACACTTGCATCTAGTTTTGGTCGCCACAATATAAGAAAGATGTTGAGACTCTGGAGAGTGCAGAAAAGAACAACAGAGATGATTAGGGAACTGGAGACCAAAGCATATGAACAATGGTTGCAGGAATTGGGTTATATCTAATCTAGTGAAAAGGAGGACTAGAGGCAACATGATAGCAGTCTTCCAATATTTGGGGGGCTGCCACTAAGAAGAGGGGGCCAACCTATTCTCCAAAGCACCAGAAGACAGGACTAGAAGCAATGGATGGAAACTAATCAAGGAGAGAAGCAACCTGAAATTAAGGAGAAATTTCCTAACAGTGAGTAGAATTAACCAGTGGAACAGCTTGCCTTCAGAAGTTGTGGGTGCTCCATCACTGGAGGCTTTGAAGAAGAGATTGGACAACGATTTGTCTGGTCTGGTCTAGTCTAGTCTAGTATCGGACTAGAGGAACTTCAAGGTCTCTTCCAACTCTGTTATTCTGTTATTCCACTAACTTGCAGTTTTGGAGTAGGTTGATACACAAAAAAACAATTGACTTGTTTTTTTTCATATTTAATAAGTCTTTAAAAGAAAATGTTCCATACACTTTTCACATGGTCTATTATGTGATCTATTATCTGTCAGACAGGATTAACGGGTGCTCCTTGGCTCAGACTCAAGTTTATAAATATTTCATCTCAAGCCCATGTTCCATGGATCTATACATGATTTGGGGCCTCTCTTGAGGAACCACCAGTTTCCCACAGAATCTACCTAGCTGGTTCTAACAGGATTGGCACACTCCAGTTTCCATCAATTAAACAATGCCATTTTCTGGTGCCTGAAAGTGCACTTTCTCTGTGGCAACCCTGGAATGAAGTTCCCCCCAGAATTTGAATGGCTCCCACACTGCCGCTATTTTCAAGAGCCTTAAAGACTGGCCATTGGCAAGGATAACCAACCTCCCTTTCTTCTTTGCTGCTCCTCTCTGGGTTTATTGTCTTTACAATCATCATTTTGTCTGATGCTGTGTTTCTTTGAGTTTTGTTTTGACTTTTATTTTTAAGTATTTTTAACAAGGGTCAACTGCCCAAAATGGCTGGGAGTCTAGCAACATATAAATTTAGTGATGATGATGATGGCATTGACAAATAACTCTATTAAACCCCAAGAGGCAGCTCTTTTAACAGGGAGAACAGTTTGCCCTCAGACCCTGGATGTAGTCACAGAACTGCAGCTCGGAGACTTTTCTTTTAAGAAGGTTGCATTTCTAATCATCTTTGTGAGTGCGAAGACACAGGCTCCACTCCTTGTACCTGTTCTGATGGTCCTCAGAAAGGCAAGTAACAGGAAACTGGGACTAAAAAAGGATAGCTATTTCAATTATTGCTACAGAAAACTTGCTGGACAATAGCTAATTATTCCTTGCATTTCCAAAGACCTTCTTTAAATTATTAAAACAAAAATCAAATAGAAACATTGAAATGTTATTTCCCAAAGCAATCTGTTGCTGCTGCTGAATCTATTCATTCAGAGCCAGAACATTCTTTTGCATCCAACCTCAAATTACTGGAAATAATTTTAATTGGATACGTGAACATTGGTTCTTCTGTGCCTGAACCCAAGTATCCACAAAATCCACAAGTGTTTCCTACAAGGCCTCACCCAGACTTTGTGATCTCAGCTGTCCACGTCAGTGAATTTTCTCTTTTTGTAATTCTGGATGAGGCTAGATACTGTGATCTGGGAGGCCTGACCCATTTCCCAGCACTGGAAGTCCTGGAGTCTCTTCTGGCCAGTCTGAAATAAGGCCCGCTCCAACTCATCCAGCCGAGCCACCAACGCAGACGTGTCCTCATTGAAAGTATTCTGGGAAGAGTCCATGATGTGACGAAAACGGCCAATAAATGTCTACCAACAGAAATAGACCTATTTAGCATGGAAAACATTGGCTTGGATTCTCACAAGGAAAAGACTGGTAACTTCTGCAAGAAACGCAATCACTCACACTTAGAGACTTTTCAGCGACCACCTGATTCTGGGATAGATACAAAACATCTGTTTCTGTGCCAGGCTACATTTTAATCACAAAATTGTTAACCTGGGAATGGAAAGATGGAGCAACACCAGATCAGGGACAGGCAACTCAGTGCCTCACAGGGGTCTTAAAATTTCAACTAGGCAGTGTTGTTTAACATTAGGAATAAGTCCAACATAGCCGTAATCCAAAAACTCTTCGCCTTGCTCCAGGCATCCTAGCATTCAGCATTACCATACTAGGCAGGGCTTTGGGAACTGCAACACAGCAGCAGTTGGAAGGCCAGATATTCCCAATTCACATTGAAAGGCTGTCAGAATGAAATGAAAGATCTGTGTGTCCTTGAGATGGATTACATGGATCTCACTCAGCATTGATATCATTGCTGAACTAAGTCTACAATCATAACCACTCCACTCCTATCCCAAGGATCAGTTCAAAGCCTTTCTAAAATGGGAAGTTTTACAATCGCAATAATGAGCATCAAAATAATATTTTAGATGGCTCTAATAGAAGTTGCTATCTGGGCAACTGCTAGATGGCTGCAGCAAGATAAGGAAATGGCATTTTGCTACCATTTTGTATTTTCCAAATTTCTATAACTTGGATCCAATAACTATCAAACTTGTGTCCATTGAAACAGAATTTTTGTTAAATCCCAAATAGGGCTTTAATATTTTTATGCAGGCTTAAAAGGCAACTTTAATTTCATACATGCATATACTGTATAAAATGACAAATGAGCTTTAAAATAGATTATGTCCATTACATTTAAATCTGCTAAACTGAGTTTTGTTAAGTATCACTGCTGAAAATTATGGCTATTTTTCTCTGCTTATATTTGGGGTTGCCTCTCTCGATAGTCATTCCTTATTACCAAAAGCCATTAGAATAATGCCTTTTGATTATTGCACCTTTTGCTTAATAGCATAAATATCAGCCTCCAGTAGTAAAATGTAATAAACAAATGTATATACCCCAATAAAAATACTTTTAACATTTTTAATATAAATATTCTGGTAAAAAATTTTTAAAATAGTTTTTCTTTGGATAAGAAAATATAACATGAAGGCAAATCTACATGTCCAAGAATAATGTTGCAAGATCCAGTCTGGCTGGGTCACTGGTACCAGAGGTTGTCTTTTGAGCTTTTGAACTCCTGCTGGAGCCTATCCTCAGGGAACGTCTCTCTAGCAGAGTGTGTGTTTTGGGCTATTCTCTGTGTGGTATTTACATAATGCCTGCTGTGTGTGGTTCTTTAGATGTTGATTGGGGTGTTGATGGCTGGTAGTTTACTTGTGCTACCAAGCCCTCACCTCCTAAGAACTTGATAAGCTGGTGGTAAATCAGCAGTCCTGTTGACTGATGAGGGGCCTGTTTCCTAGGCTTCAATCACTGTATTTGTGCTCACTTATCCAACAAACTTAGTAGCAATAGCAATAGCACTTAGACATATACCATTTCACAGTGCATTACAGCCCTCTCTAAGTGGTTTAGAGTCTCAGCATATTGTCCCCAACAATCTGGGTCCTCATTTTATTAACCTTGGAAGGATGGAAGGCTGAGTCAACCTTGAGCCAGTGAGAATTGAACTGCTGGCAGTCAGCAGACGTAGGTTTCAGTACTGCATCCTAACCACTGTGCCAACACAGCTCAATAACTGCAAATTTGAATGTATGTGTCGAGCCCAGCCATGGCTCACCACAAGACCGTTCACACACACAACACTCCTACAACGATACCAAGAGGGGATGTGCACCGGGTGGCTAGGTTTTGGTGGTGGTGGCAGCGGGTCATAAGTGGACTATTGGTGGTGGTAGAACAAGTGCGAGAAGAGGGGAGGCATGGACGACGGATCAACATCATCATGGCTTCGGGAGCGTCGTGATCCCACATCCTGGCTAGAACAAGCAGGAAGCGGCTGCCGATAACTCCGAACAGCTGAGACGTGCTACGAGGGTGGGGCGCGGGCAGCTTGGCTTATTTAAATTGTGCTGAGCTGTGGTTGCTCTCAGCGCTGACTCTGTATGGAGAATACTCTTTTCCTGATTCCCGTGTATAGCGAATTAAAACTAAGCACTGATCATCCAAACCCGGTGAGCTGGCTTTGACTGTTTCGGAGTTCGCATAGACATGGATTGGAAAGCCGAGACAAAGTCAGCGCTCTCCCTTAAACTCAACCTGTTTACAGCAGCCGTGAGTATGATATGACTGAGAGGACAGATTCAGGCGTGCCTGAGATCCTGGAGGCTAAGGAGGAAGATGCAGAGTTGTGGCTGTGACACCCAAAGAAAGCGAGGTTTTAGTAGTGCAACCTAAGGAAAGGAAACTCCCGACTGCAGACCCTCCAGTAGAACACCAAGGGGAGACAGAGAAGTGGATAACACAATCTACTTCGGGTCATTGGTGGCACAGCTCCGCAATAACAGGGCCTGAGGAGACTCGAGATAGAACCGCACCACCTATTGGACCAGTGGCATTCCAAGGATAGAGGGAGAGACGCTGGACAGAAGAGGAAGATCAGGACTGGAGTTATTCTGCGGGTTCTGGAGGCGCTTAGAGAACGGAGGCGCTTAGAGAACAGTTCGGGAAAGCCAGCTTTAGGGATGCGCCTTCATGACAACCCTGGGCACCGAGGTTGACTCCTCAAACACCCGGAGAGGGACCGGCAGTGGGTTGGATTCTGATGCATGTTTTCAAGTTACCAGCCTGAAATTGAGAAGAAACCAGAATCTTTGCCAGTTTAAGGGTATAGAAAACCCTATTGGGTTTTCGATGCAGACCGCCGGGGAGGCAGTGGGTGGTCCTGGTCAGGGGTCTAGCAGAGTTACGAGGTGATTGATACTAGGCCCCCACCTATGAGGACACAGTCAGAGTCTCATCGAGTAGCCGCTGGAGGCAGGGATATCACCAGAGGACGTGAGCAGTACCTGTTTGGCCTGTTGGCTCATGGCCTCAACAACCGCCTTTCTAGGCCCCACCACCCATCCAAGCCTCTTTTGATGGGAGTCCTGATAGGATAGCATTGTTTCTTAGTCATTAGTCATTTTGACCTCTATGATCAGTTCTACCCTTCGCAGTGGGTGATGGTGGTAGCCGTAACAACAGTGTTGCGGGGGGAGGCGGCAGATTGGTTAGCCGATCTCCACAGTGAGCATGCTCGGGAATTAACTAACGTGGGCATGTTCCTAGAAGGTCTCAGGGCCCGATCTGAGGACGAAACCAGAGCCCAATCTGCTGAAGGAGAGAGATAGTAGCAATTAAACAACGTTGCAGATCATCAAGAACTCCCTCTCTGTTGTATCTCCAACAGAGATTGGGAAAACCATTTTGGGTCAATCTTCCAGGCTTCAACAGTCACGACCAGACTTGGACCACAACTGCCCCCTGCAATTCCGGATTGGCATCCCGTGACTCACGCTGAGATTAATGAGTTTATCTCTGAACTCAAGTCAGGCAAAACCCCTGGCCCTGATGCTATACCCCGATTTGTTAAAATCTAATCCCAAGTGGTGGATTCCTATTTTAGCAACACTCTTCACCCATATTAATACCTCTGGTAGGATCCCTACCTCCTGGAGTCTAGCAATCATTGTTCCTGTTTTTAAACGAGGAAATAGGAACAACCCAGCCGATTATCGTCCTATAAGTCTGCTCTCCATCATTGGAAAATTGTATGCCAAATATCTCCAACGCAGACTCCTCACCTGGGTCGAGGAATCCAACATCATTGGTTCTGAACAGATTGGGTTTAAAGCGGGCTGTGCCACATTGGACCACTGCTTTGTCCTAGCACACCTGGTTGATAAATACGCCACCATACCAGGTGGTAAACTTTTTACTGCTTTTATTGATCTAAAGCAGCGTTGATTTAATCTCAAGGGAATTGTTGTGGTCAAAATTGCTCAAAAGTTCCATTGATAGACGTCTTCTGTTCTTAATTAGATCCCTACATAATCAGACTTTTAGCCAGGTCAGGCGCGGTTTGCAGGGAGAACTCTCAAATCCTATCCCGATAAAGAGCAGAGTTAGGCAGGGCTGTGTCCTGGCTCCTCTTCTGTTTAACTTATTCTTATCTGACTTGGCCTCTTACATTGGACGTACTGAGTCCCACGCCCCAAAGTTGTCAACTACGAAGATCCCGCTTCTCCTTTATGCTGACGATGCGGTCCTCCTATCATTGTCAAGGCTTGGTCTGAAAAGGCTACTTTCTGCATTTGGATCCTACTGCGCTGAGAACCACTTGTCCATTATGACAAATCAAAAATATTGGTGTTCTCTAGAGCCCGGAAGCTATACAACTGGGCTATTAAAGGTAATGCTGTTAAGCAGGTTCTCCATTTTAAGTATTTTGGTATCCATTTTCAGAACATCGGTGCTTGGACTAGACATTGAACTCAGGTGCTGAATTCAGCCTCCTGTAGCCATCAGCAGATTCTAAGATTTTTCTATATCCAAGGAGGCCAATTTATTCCTTCTGCTCTGCGTATTTACAAAGCCAAAACCCTGGCCCAAACTCTTTACGGAATTCCTATATGGATACAGGGCTTCAAGGAGTGTATTGAAAGAACTCAGGCTGGTTTTTTTAGGAAACTTTTGGGTCTCTCTCCCTGTGTTGACTTTGTTTCGATGTACCTGGAATTGAACATTCGATCAGTCGAATGCATGGCGTGGATTAACACCTTTAAATGGTGGTTTCGGGCGCTCTTTTTGGCAGTCCCTGGTAGCTACCTCTCCCTGGTGTTAGCTGACTCCTATACTTCTCGATGGGAGAGGGAGCTGACGAAGAAATTCCACCTGCTAGGTTTCTCGGAGGATGCCTTGGGAGACTATGGCCTTAAGGACGCCCAATTTAGGGTTGTCCAACGGCTTGTGGACATAGACTTGCAATATCTAAAAGCTAGAGCTAATAAAACCTGCTCTCCTCTGAATTTCAGCCAATTTAACAATTATGGACTGAGGACGGCCTCATATTTTTACACTTTAACCATCCCTAAGTATAGAAGAGTTTCTCCCTTGCTCTTTTCAACGTCTTGCCCTCAGCATTGCTGGACGGACGATTTAAGAGGCTCCCGATAAGTGAGCGGTTATGCCCCTGTGATAGAGCCGAGGTTGAAACTGTGGAGCATGTTCTTTTATACTGCCCTATGTATAACGCAGGCAGGACTAAATTACTGTCTCTCCTAGAAACAGATCTCTCTGGATCCAATGCTAGTAATTTGACCTTATATTGTTTAGGGGATGGCTCCTCACACATTATTTTTCAAGTTTCTAAATTTTTTTTAAGAGCTGTAACTATTAGAGAAGAACGCTGTAATTCCTCTTAGCCAAGGCTTCTAGTAGCCAACTGTTTATGATGTTACTTTCCCCACATTATTTTGCAACTATATTTGTATTTTGGTCTGTGACCGCAAATAAAAGTTATTATTATTATTACTTAAGGAGCTATGTGTGATATCAGCAAACTGACTGGTCTAGTCTCTTAATGTTTGCTGAAGTGGCATACAACAATGCTGTACATAGGAGTACTGGCTTTACACCGTTCCATGTAGTGACAGGTAAAGACTTCCCTGCAATCCCCGAATTAGAAACAAGTACCCCGGACCAACTGTCTCCTGCTGACTGGGCTGAGAGAATCCGAAAAGTTTGGCCACACGTTAAACAATCATTAATGAAGGCTGCGGATGAATACAAGGTGCAGGCTGATAAAAGGAGAACAGAAACCAAACTGTTTCATGTGGGTGATCGAGTGTTTTTATCTACCAGATATATTAAGCTCAGGATCCCATGTAAGAAACTAGGGTCTAAGTATTTGGGACCATTCATGATCACCAATGTCATTAATCCGGTTACTGTCATGTTAAAACTCCCTCCATTGCTGCAACGAATACATCCAGTCTTTCATAGCAGTTTACTGAAACCAGTTGGCCAAGTGGCGTCAACAAGTCCTCCTGGACCAGTTAATGAGAACTGGTACGTACTTAGAAATGAGTACGAAATAGAGGATACAAGATTCTAAAGTGACAAGGGGACGGTTGAAATATCTAGTCAAATGGAAAGGGTACCCTTATGAAGAGGCGTCATGGGTTAACAAAGATGATGTCCAAGCCCCACGGTTGATCCAACGGTTTCATAGGACTTACCCGCAGAAACCGAAAATAACCCCAGATGACTGAGGCTAATGTTTTGTTGTCTATTCCTTGCAGGTGCACTCCTGGTAGAGGGCGCCTATTGAGCCCAGCCATGGCTCGCCACAAGACCGTTCACACACACAACGCTCCTGCAACGATGCCAAGAGGGGATGTGCACTGGGTGGCTAGGTTTTGGTGGTGGCGGCGGGTCACAAGTGGACTATTGGTGGTGGTAGAAGGAGTGCGAGAAGAGGGGAGGCGTGGACAACGGATCAACATCATCATGGCTTTGGGAGCATCGTGATCCTGTATCCTGGCTAGAACAAGCAGGAAGCGGCTGCCGATAACTCCAAACAACTGAGATGTGCTACGAGGGTGGGGCACGGGCAGCGCAGCTTGTTTAAATTGCGCTGAGCTGCAGTTGCTCTCAGCGCCGACTTTGTATGGAGAATACTCGTCTTTTCCTGATTCCCGTGTATAGCGAATTAAAACCAAGCACTGATCATCCAAACTCGGTGAGCTGGCTTTGACTGTTTCGGAGTTCGCATAGACGTGGACTGGAAAGCCGAGAGTATGTCCTTGTTCATTCCAACGTGGTCAGATGAGGAGACTCAAACTCATTTGTAGCTCACATTGCAACGAACAATGACATACATTAAATTTTGCAGCTACCAAGACTTTTTTACCAGCAGGGTAAAAAAACAGCAGGGGAAGTAATTGAAGCCTGGGAAATGGGAGCCCTCATCAGACAGCAGGAGTGCTGATTTACCACCAGCCTGTCAAGTACCGTATTTTTCGGAGTATAAGACACACTTTTTTTCCTCCTAAAAGAGGCTGAAAATTTGGGTGCCTCTTAAATTCTGAATGTAGCTTTTTCAAAGCTATTTTTCAGCCCTAACAAGGCGCTAGTGATCTCCGTGGTAAGCTTTTTTCCGTGAAGTGATCATGCTTTTGCCTGCTCCCTCCGACTCTCAGCTGTGAAGCTTTTTTTAGCTCTAACAAGGCACTAGCTAGTGAAGCGATCTCCGTGGTTTGCCTGCTTTTCTTATTGCTTCTCTCTCCAAAGATCGGTTGTGCTTTAGAAGCACAAACTAATGTGCTGAAGCTGACCAGACTAAGGAGCTAGCCAGATGAATACCTGGTAGGCAATTTTTTTTTTCCTATTTTCCTCCCTAAAAACTAAGCTGCGTCTTATACTCTGGTGTCTTATACTCTGAAAAATACGGTACTTAAAAGGGGAGGGCTTAGCAGCCCAAGGAAACAACAGCCAACAGTCAATAGCCAGCCATCAACACCCTAATCAACATCTAAAAAGCCACACACAACAGGCATCATATAAATACCACACACAGAATAGCCCAAAACACTTTTGTGTTTATAGACCAATTTAACTATTAAATGCAGATTACAAAATTTTTGCATCAATTATGGTGGAAAGATTGAAAAGGTTACTAAATGAACTCATACATTCAGACCAAAATGATTTTTTGCCTAAAAGGCAAATTAGAGACGATATACGAATTATATTGGATACATTGGAATATTATGAGGTACATTCAGAGAAACAAATGGCATTGTTATTTTTAGATGCACAGAAAGCATTTGACAATGTGAATTGGCAATTTATGACTATACAATTACAAAAGATAGACTTTGATGATAGATTCATTATTATGGTTAAGACTATATATAAAGACCAATCGGCAAAGATAATAATAAATGGTGAAATGACAGAGAAAGTAGATATCAGAAAAGGAACTAGACAAGGATGTCTGTTATCTCCACTGTTATCTTGACGCTAGAAATTTTAAACAGAAAAATAAGGCAAGATAAAGAAATAAAAGGAATGAAAATTAAAAGAGAAGAATACAAGCTACAAGCATTTCCGGATGATTTAGTATTTATTATGGAGGCACCAACAGAAACGGGCCCAAAGCTAATGAAGAAAATAGAGGAGTATGGAGAAGTAACTGGATTGAAAATAAATAAAAATAAAACAAAAATTATAGTTAAAAATATGAGAGAAAAACAAAAAAAAGCAATTAACGGAGGTTAGATATTCAAATAGTGAAGAAAGTTGAAATACTTGGGCATCCAATTAACCTCAAGATGTATCACAGTGAAGGAAGATAACTACTATAAGCTGAGAAATCAAATTGAAATAAGACTTGGAAAAATGGAAAATTCTACAACTATTGTTAATGGGAAGAATAGCACTAATCAAAATGTACTACCAAGATTTTTTTTCCCCAAATATGATAAACATGGACAATAGTGTTAGATATAAGGACATTTTAAGAGAGAAGGGAGAACTAAAACAGAAACAAGATTTAGAAAAACAAGGGATTGAGATTGATTGGTATACACAAGTGCAGATAAAATCAAGGTATGATAAAGATTTGAAACAATATGGTTTTAATTTGGGGGAATCAGAGTTGGATCAGATGATGATTGGAAAGGATGAAAAAATGATTAAAAGGTTGTATAATTATCTATTGCAGATTAGATTAGAAAATGAAGAAGTAAGAGAGACAATTATAACATGGGTGAAAAACTTTGGTTATGCAACAGAATTAGAGAAATGGCAACAACTATGGGAAAGGAATTATAAACTGACTATGGCAACTGCATATAAAAAAGATGTATATAAAATGTTTTATAGATGGCATATGCCACCAGAAAAACTAGCAAAAGATAAAGAGGAATTGGTGTATTTCAAGGCATGGGAAAGATTCTATGTATGGATAGAAAAGAAACATGAATAAAAGTTGATTGATAAACGATATAGATAATAGAAAGTTAAATGAGGGATAAGACAAAAAAGAAATAGAAACTGAGATGACACCAGAGTAAATGGAAAAGGGGGAGGGGGGGGGGGAAGAAAGAAGATTATAAATATAAATGTACAATTATGAAATTTTAGATTGGGTAAAATGGGAAAGAAATTGAAAAGTAAGTATATATTATTAGAAAATTGGAGTTGCTTGTATATCAAATAAGGGAAATATTGCACAACAAAGGAGAAAGAAAGGAGAGAAGAGTAGAGGGTTAGAGGAGGAGAAGGAGAGAGAGTAATGGAAGAAAGGGGAAGGAGAGAAAGAAAGGATAGGGGACAAGAGCAGGAGAGAAGGCGAGAAGGGGGGAAAGAGGGGAGGAGTGGGGGAGAGGAAGAGGAAGTAGGGGAGAGGAGAGGAGAGGAGGAGGAAGAAAGTAGAAGAGGAGTGGAGGGAGGGAGGGGAAAGAAAGGAGATTTGTTGTGAAAAGAGGGAAAAGAGAGGGTAGAAGAGCAACCCCAATGTAATTAAAAGGTCTTATTTTTATGCTTTCATTAGAAAAAATATGTATGTGTATATATATATCTTAGCCAGGATTTTAAACATTTTAACTAACAAATTTATAATGACACGGGAAAATACCCGAGATTTTAACTTTTTACATACACACACCCGCGAAAACTTAAGAATAATTATGATTAATTATGGATAAAGGAATGTACATTTACAATATGTGCATAAGAAATAAAAATAAAAAACTTTTTTCAAAAAAAAAAAAAAAAAGAATAGCCCAAAACACACACAATCTGCTAGAGAGAAGTTCCCTAAGGATGGGCCCGATCATGAGTCCGAAAGTTTGAAAGACTAAATGTCTGATCCTGGTGACCAACTTAGATTGGATCCTGCAAGGAAATATAATGCTACTTAATTAACTATCATCTACATATTAAGGGTTAATAAATAAAATCTATATTGCACAAGAAGTACCAATGTATCTCAAGTATTTTTTCAGTCCAATCTTTAAAATGAAAATTGATTGTGTTTTCTTATCTATACAGAGAAAAGAGAACAGGAACCCTAAGCAGGGTGGATAAAAATCAATGATTTAAAAAAAATAATCAGGTTTTATTTCAATCGGATTTTTTTTTTCAATCAGATTTTTTAAAATTTTTATCAAATTTATTTTAATAAAATGCTTTTGGAGTAAAAATCTATCTAAAGATAGTTTTCTATTTAAGATATATTAATAATTTATATAATCCGCTGATCTCTTCGCACTGCGAGACTCCCCCCTCTCGCGGGCCTGGCCCTCCACGTTATCGAGGGCCTATCTCGATGACGGGTTTTGGAACCCCGAGAGATGGCATGCAGCGAAGAGGGGGTTGAGGGGTTTTCTACGCAAATTCTTAATGAAATTTTTAAGGGGACCCGGGAAGAGGGATGGAAATAATGATTTTTTAAGGGGAACCGGGAGGAAGACCAAGGGGTTTGGGGGAACGAACCCACTAAGGTCAGAGCCGAGCCCGGCACAGGGGGACGATCTGGAGGGTGCAAGTCAAGGGATCGGGGAGGGGCTGGAGGACCATCCGGAAGAGGAATTTTCCATCAGCATGGTGAATGGGAGGGGCAGATATGGCGGGAATAGGGGACCATATCATGTGTTGGGGGCGTGCACTCGCTGTTTGAGAGCAATTGCGCGCCCCGGTCCCCAAGACTCCACTCAGATACTAGGTGGCTTAGATACTCAGGACCTGGGCCTCTGGCTGATGTTATGCAATGCTAGGTCCATGGTTAATAAGGCCCCCCTCATTTATGATCTTATACAGGAGGGGGGAGCAGACCTGGCAGCTATTACCAAGACTTGGTTGGGCCCGGAGGGAGGGGTCCCCCTGGTTGAGATATGCCCACCGGGCTTCAGAGCATTTCATCAGCCGAGGGCCCAGGGGAGGGGCGGGGGGGTGGCGGTTATTATTAAAGAAGATCTTGGTTCGAGGGAAACCACTGTGCCACAGATTGCCGGATGTGAAACCCTCTTTGTGAGATGGGGTCATGGGGCTCAGATGGGCCTGTTGCTCACGTACCTGGCTCCCTGCCGCATGGCAACGGCCCTGCCCGAGCTACTCGACATGATAGCCACGATGGCAGTTGATACACCCAGGCTCATGGTCATGGGTGATTTCAACCTGCCATCCGTTGGTGAGACGTCTGAGATGGCCCGGGAGTTCATGGCTTCCATGATGGCCATGGACCTGACCCAGTTAGTTCATGGCCCCACCCACAGGGGGGGTCACACTCTGGACTTGATTTTTGTCTCTGGCCAGTGGTTGAGTGGCCTTGTTATAGGGGATATAGACATGGAACCCTTGTCATGGTCTGACCACTCGCTTCTTCGCCTATATCTTTGAACCGCTGCCCCCCCGCCGCAGGGAGGCGGAGCCTACAAGATGGGTCCGCCCCAGGCGCCTGATGGATTCTGATAGATTCCAGATGGAGCTTGGGCCATTCCCTGAGGTTCTAGCACATGACTCGGTCGGGGACCTGGTGGCGGCCTGGGATCGGGCCGCTAGCGGAGCCTTAGATCGAGTCGTGCCTTTGCGGCCTCTGACCCGGTGCCGATCCCTCGCGGCTCCTTGGTTCACTGAGGAGCTGAGGGAGATGAAGCGCCGGAAAAGACGCCTGGAGAGTGGTTGGAGGGCCAGTCTCACCGAATCTGATCGAACACTGGTAAGGTCGCATATTAAGACCTACCTAGTGGCGATAAAAGCGGCGAAGTCCAATTACTTTTCTGCTCTTATTAGCGTCATCAGAGAATTGTCCGGCGGCCCTGTTCAGAGTGACCTGCTCCCTGCTTCAACCGGGAGTGCGGGAGGACCCTCTGGAGGGCAGGGCTGAGGATTTCGGATGATATCTGTATGACAAAATCGCTCAGATCCGGCGGGATTTGGACTCTGACTGGGTAGATCCGGGCAGGATGACGAGGAATAGTCTTGAGAATGTTATCTGGGAAGAGTTTGACTCTGTGACTCCGGATGACGTGGACAGGATTTTGGGGAGACTTAATGCGACCACGTTTACTGGACCCGTGTCCCTCCTGGTTAGTACTGGCTTCCCGGGAGGTCTCACGAGGCTGGCTCCAGGGAATTATCAACGCTTCGTTGAGTGAGGGTCACTTCCCCGCTACCTTGAAAGAGGCAGTGATGAGGCCTCTCCTCAAGAAGCCCTCCCTGGATCCGGCAGTATTGGCTAACCGTCCTGTCTCCAACCTTCGCTTTGTGGCGAAGGTTGTTGAGAGTGTGGTCGCACGACAGTTCCCACAATTCCTGGAGGAAACGTCCTATCTAGACCCATTCCAGTCGGGTTTCAGGCCTGGGCACAGCACGGAAACAGCATTGGTCGCGTTGGTGGATGATCTCTGGAGGGCTCGGGACAGGGGTTGCTCCTCTGTTCTAGTCCTATTAGATCTCTCAGCGGCTTTTGATACCATCGACCATGGTATCATGCTGCACCGGTTGGAAGAGTTGGGGATGGGGGGCACCGTATTACGGTGGTTCTCCTCCTTTCTCTCCGACCGGTCGCAGTTTGTGTTGACAGGAGGGCAGAGGTCGACCTCGAGGCCTCTCATCTGTGGAGTGCCGCAAGGGTCGGTCCTCTCGCCCCTTCTGTTCAACATTTATGTGAAGCCGCTGGGCGAGATCATCCGTGGCTTTGGGGTGAGATACCACCAGTACGCTGATGACACCCAGCTGTACATCTCCACCCCAGGCCACCCCAGCGATGCCCTTGAAGTGATGGCCCAGTGCCTGGAAGCTGTACGGATCTGGATGGGGAGGAACAAGCTCAAGCTCAACCCTTCCAAGACTGAGTGACTGTGGTTCCCGGCATCCCGATATAGTCAGCTGACTCCATCGCTGACTATCAGGGGCGAGTCTTTGGCCCCCGTGGAGAGGGCGCGCAATCTGGGCGTCCTCCTGGATACGCAGCTGTCCTTGGAGGAACATCTGACGGCTGTTGCCAAGGGGACCTTTTGTCAGGTTCGCCTGATTTGCCAGTTGCACTCCTTTCTTGATCGGGATTCCGTGTGCACAGTCACTCATGCCCTCATCACCTCTCACCTGGACTACTGCAACGCTCTCTAGATGGGGCTCCCCTTGAGGAGCACCCGGAGGTTCCAACTGGTCCAGAATGCGGCCGCGCGGGTAATTACAGGAGCTGCATGGCGCTCCCGCATAACACCGCTCCTGTGCGAGCTGCACTGGCTCCCAGTGGTCTTCCGGGTGCGCTTCAAGGTGTTGGTTACCACCTTTAAAGCGCTCCATGGCATAGGACCTAGTTATCTTCGAGACCGCCTTCTACCACGACGACCTCCCATCGACCCGTGCGCTCCCACAGAGAGGGCCTCCTCGGGGTGCCATCAGCCAAGCAATGCAGGCTGGTGACCCCCAGAGGGAGGGCCTTCTCTGTGGGTCACCCACCCTCTGGAATCAGCTGCCCCCAGAGATAAGGAGAATCCAAGACCACCGTGCCTTCCGCCGTGCCCTTAAAACTTTTCTTTTCCAACAAGCCGGGCTGGCCTAACAAATCCTTTTAAATGATTTTAAATTCGTATGTCTTTTAAATTTTGGGCCAAATTGAGATATTTCCTTTTAATCTGTTCTTAATGTTTGTATTATGTGATTTTATCTGGCTGTACACCGCCCTGAGTCCCCAGGGAGAAGGGTGGTATATAAATTTGAAGTAAAATAAAATAAAAAATAAATTTAGTTTATTCAGCATGAAATGGATCTTAGTTATATAGCAAGAGGCTGTATATTCTGCAATATTTACATTTTTGGTAAACTGATTCAATGAATCCAAGCTCTGCAAGCTAAATAGGAAACCTTCATTTTGTTTGCAAATAACAATATTAAAAGATTCTAACTACCAGCAAGAATGAGTCCTTACATTTAAAGAGCATCTGTCATTTCAGATCCATCATGGCAGCGCCTATTAGTGGGCATCCACTTACCTGCTACCTGTCACGTCCCTCACCTTGTTGTGTCACTGCCGCATCACCAACTGTCCCATTAAAGCGAATGAGACTGTCGGTGAGTCAATAGTGGGTCAGAGGAGGAGCCACTGCGGGACAGTGAAGACAGCTCCTCTTTAAAAATTATGATTTAAATCAACTCGATTTAAATCAAGCTTTTTTATTAGTGATTTAAATCGTGATTTAAATCGTTATTTAAAGTGACTTGATTTAAATCAAATCCACCCTAAGCTTGGGCTGTTAGTACACAATTATAATGCAGAATTATATCCAAATTAGGCTAATGTGCAGTGCAGAATTGGTAAGTAATACATTAATTGAATGGACTGTTGGCATATTCACAAACTTTTTCTTTTGAAAGGCTCTGAAAAATGCAGTGTTTGGAAGCTGTTTCACGGGAATAGATTACAACCCAATCTTGAGAAGACTGGGTGATATTTGCCCCTCACCCCAACCCCAGGTTCAGAGATGTTTCCATTGCTGGTCGTGGATGGTGTAGCACTTCCCTATTCAAGATTGTGCAACTTGGGAGTCCTTCTGAACTTGTGGTTACTGTTCAAAGAGCAAGTGGCAACTGTGGCCAGGATGCCCGTTGCACAGGTTCATCTTGTACACCAATTGACATGGAGGCCCTTCAGTTACTCATGTACTGGTCACCTATGACTGAATTACTTCAATGCACTTTACATGGGGTTGACCTTGAAGACATCCAGAAACTATCAGTTACAAAATGCAACAACATGAGCACTAATGGGCATGTCTTGGTATGCCCATGGATCATGTGCCAGTAGGCTGCTGAGTGCAATTCAAGATACTGATTACCTATAAAATCCTGTGTAATATAGAGGGGGATTTCTAAGGCTTATCTCCAAATGTTTCTGCTGGTTTCTTTCTGGTACCTTCTGGTAGAATTGCTGTGTTCTAGTCTTCTCTATGTTGTCACCTTACAAGTGTGAGGAAGCATGCCTTCCCACTCATGGCACCCACCCTCTGGAGCAGCCTACACCCAGAGATAGACAATACCCTCTCTTGGGGTTCCAAAAAGCCCTTACATCCTAGATTTCTTGTCAGGCCTAGGGTTACAAATCATGTATTCTCAGGGGTCTGGTTTGTTACTGTTATGACTCTCATAGTCTGGGCTCTCATAGTCATTGTGGTACTGTATGTTTTTAACTTTTTTATTTACAAGGGAAACAGAGTCTACTGGAATGGGTGGCTATAACAAGTTTCAAATAATAATGAAGAATTATAAGCAGACCTTTTACCTGTAGTATGGACTGAGCTAATTCAGTATTTTCAGGATTGTCAAAATTGAGTAACTGGGTCCCAAATCCATAGTAATATGGCCCCAATTTATGCAGGTCAACCACACTGGCATCGGCATTAAACACTGTCCGCCAGCTCTCCTTGTAAACCTTTGGTAGCTCCACAGAAAGAATCCTCCGCTTGTCATACAAGCCTTTGACCAACCAGAGAGGGATTTCCAACTTTGAACCCTGTATAATTGAACAGAACACAAAAGGTAAAATACAAAAGGATACAACTCAACACCCCTAATGCTACTCAGTGTAGCCCTGTAAGTAGAGAAATTCAATAGAGATGCTGCAAGACATCTGCAGCAACCGGACCTCGCTTTAAACAGTATCTAGAAGGCAACCCTCCTCATGGATTACTGCCTTGTCGTGGCGAAGGGGCTTGCGAAGCTCAATGAAGTTATGAGTATGCAGTGCAGGGACACTCAAGACAGACAGGTCATAGCAGAGAGTTCTGACAAAATGTGATCCACTGGAGAAGGAAATGGCAACCCACTCCATTTGCCGTGAAAACCCCATGGACAGTACCAAAAGGAAAAAAGATATGACACCGGAAGATGAACCCCTCAGGTCGGAAGGTGTCCAATATCCTACTGGGGAAGAGCAGAGGGCTAGTACTAGTAGTGCCAGAAAGAGTGAAGGGACTGGGCCAAAGCTCAACTGTGGATGCACCTGGTGGTGAAAGGAAAGTTGGATGCTGTAAAGATTTTCTCTCCATAGGAACCTGGAATGTAAGATCCATGAATCAAGGCAAGCTGGACATGGTCAAACAAGAGATGACAAAACTGAACATCGACATCTTAGGAATCAGCAAACTAAAATGGACAGGAATGGGTGAATTTAATTCAGATGACCATCAGGTATACTACCGCAGGCAAGAATCCCTCAGAAGAAATGGAGCAGCCTTCATAATCAATAAAAGAGTAGGAAAAGCAATAATGGGATACAATCCCCAAAATGATAGAATTATCTCAGTTCGAATCCAAGGGAAACCATTCAACATCACAGTAATCCAAGTCTATGCCCCAACCACTGGTGCTGAAGAGGATGAAATACAGCACCTTATAGAATTAACACCAAAAAATGATGTACTTATCATCATGGGGGATTGGAATGCTAAAGTAGGAAGCCAAAAGATAACCAGAATAACAGGCAAGTTTGGTCTTGGAGTACAAAATGAAGCAGAGCACAGGCTGATAGAATTCTGTCAAGATAATATGATGGTCATAGCAAACACTCTTTTCCAACAACCCAAGAGACGACTCTACACATGGAGAGTCAACACCAGACAGTCAACACAGAAATCAGATTGTCTATGTGCTCTGCAGCCAAAGATAGAGAAGGTCTATAGAGTCAGTAAAAACCAGATCATGAGCTTCTCGTTGCAAAATTTAGACTTAAATTGAAGAAAGTAGAGAAAAGCACTAGGCCACTCAGGGATGAATATACAATAGAGGTGACAATAGATTTAAGGAATTAGATCTGATAGACAGAGTGCCTGAAGAACTATGGACAACATTGTACAAGAGGTAGCAACTAAAACCATTGCAAAGAAAAGGAAAGGTAAGAAAACAATAGGGTTGTCTGAGGAAGCTTTGCAAATAGCTGAGGAAAGAAGAGAAGCGAAAGGCAAGGGAGAAAGAGAAAGATACACCCAGTTGAATGCAGAATTCCAGAGAATAGCTAGAAGAGATAAGAATGCATTCTTAAATGAACAGTGCAAAGAAATAGAAGAAAACAATAGAATAGGGAGGACCAGAGATCTCTTCAAGAAAATTGGAGATATGAAGGGAACGTTTCATGCAAAGATGGGCATGATAAAGGACCAAAATGGCAAGGATTTAACAGAGGCAGAAGAGATTAAGAAGTGGTGGCAAAATTACACAGAAGAATGAACTTAACGTCCCTGAGAACTACGATGGGGTGGTCACTGACCTCGAGCCAGACATCCTAGAATGTGAAGTCAAATGGGCCTTAAGAAATCTGAGCAACAGCAAAGCTAGTGGAGAAACAATGTCCACTGCATATAAAGAGAATCAATATAAAATGTTTTAGAGATGGCATATGCCCCCTGAGAAACTGGCAAAAATGTTTAAAAATAAATCAGCTAAATGTTGGAAATGTCACCAGTTACCAGGATCTTATTATCATATGTGGTGGACATGATCAGAAGCTAAAAACTATTGGAATAAAATTAAGACATGATTGGAAGAAATGACATAACAATGTATTGATTTGAAACCAGAGCTGTTCCTATTGGGTATCCTTCCAGAAAAAACTAGCAAAGAAAATACTTATTTGATTATGCATGTAATAACAGCTGCAAGGATTGTTTTTGCACAACATTGGAAAGCAGAGAAAATACCTCTGGAAGGAGAAGTGATTAAAAAAATTTTTAGACTGTGCTGAAATGAATAGATTAACTTTGATGATTAAAGAAAGAGAGGATTCAGAATACTTTAAGATATGGGATCAATTTTACCATTGGTTAGAAAAGAGATATAGATAAGTAAATTAATAGCTATTTTAAAAAAATGGTATAATTAGAATATTGTAGCTTTGGAGAAAGGTGAAAATGAAGACACAAGAAACAAAAAAAAAAAGATGAAGTCACAGAGAAAACGCCAAGATGTTGCACAGAAGGGATGATTGATGTATTAAATATTTGTCTATAAAATAAAAAACTTTTTCAAAAAAACAACAACAAAGCTAGTGGAGGAGACAGTATTCCAGCTGAGCTATTCAAAATCTTAAAAGACATATAGTAAAAGGGCTACACTTAATTTGCCAACAAATTTGGAAAACTCAACAGTGGCCACAGGATTGGAAAAGGTCAGTTTACATTCCAACTCCAAAGAAAGGCAATGCCAAAATATCGCACCATTGCACTCATTTCACATGCTAGTAAGGTTATGCTTAAAATCCTACAAGCTAGGCTCCAGCAATATGTGGATCGAGAACTACCAGAAGTACAGGCAGATTTCGAAAGGCAGAGGAACTAGAGATCAAATTGTCAACATACCCTGGATCATGGAGAAAGCTAGGAAGTTCCAGAAAAACATCTACTTCTGCTGCATTGACTATGCTAAAGCCTTTGATTGTGTGGATCACAACAAATTGTGGCAAGTTCTTAAAGAGATGGGAGTACCAGACCATCTTATTTGTCTCTTGAGAAACCTATATGCGGGTCAAGAAGCAACAGTGAGAACTGGACACGAGAGTGGTTCAAAATTGGGAAAGGAGTCCAGCAAGGCTGTATACTGTTGCCCTGCCTATTTAACTTATATGCAGAGCACATCATGAGAAAGGCGGGGCTAGATGAATCAAAAGTTGGAATTAAGATTGCCGGGAGAAATATCAACAATCTCAGATATGCAGATGATACCACTCTAATGGCAGAAAGCGAAAAGGAACTAAAGAGCCTCTTGAGGCGGGTGAAGAAGGAGAGTGCAAAAGTTGGCTTGAAACTCAACATTAAGAAAACTAAGATCATGGCATCCAGCCCTCTCAACTCATGGCAAATAGATGGGGAAGAACTGGAGGTAGTGACAGATTTTATTTTCCTGGGCTCCAAGATCACGGCAGATGGGGACTGCAACCAAGAAATTAAAAGATGCTTGCTCAGGGGAAGAAAGCTATGGCAAATCTAGACAGCATACTAAAAAGCAGAGACATCACCCTGCTAACAAAAGTGTGTATAGTTTGGTTGCAATGTATGGCTGTGAAAGTTGGACCATAAGAAAGACTGAGCGCCAAAGAATTGAGGCCTTTGAACTCTGGTGCTGGAGAAGACTCCTGCAAGTCCCTTGGAGGAGTCCAAGGCGATCAAACCAGTCAGTCCTCCTCAGATCAACCCTGACTGCTCTTTAGAAGGCCAGATCCTGAAGATCAAGGAGCCTGAGTGGCGTAGGAGGCTAATGCCTCCTACTAAGGCAGCATTTAACATCCAGCTGCCTGCAATTACTGCGAGTTCAATTCTCACCAGGCTCAGCCTTCCATCCTTTCTAAGGTGGGTAAAATGAGGACCCGGTTTGTGGGGGCAATAAGCTGACTTTGTATAAAATATACAAAAGTATGAAGGCTATTGCTTAACGCATTGTAAGCCACCCTGAGTCTCCGGAGAAGGGCGGCATATAAAAATAAAAATAAAAAAAAAGATGCAACTCAAATACTTCGGCCACCTAATGAGAAGGAAGGACTCACTGGAGAACAGCTTAATGCTGGGAAAAATTGAGGAAAAGAAAAATGGGATGACAGAGAACAAGGTGGCTGGATGGAGTCACTGAAGCAGTAGGCGTGAGCTTAAATGGACTCCAAAGGATGGTAGAGGACAGGAAGGCCTGGAGGAACATTGTCCATAGGGTTGCGATGGGTTGGACATGACTTCGCAACTAACAACAACAAACTGTTCTTTTATTTTGGGGTTTTTTGGTACTGCTTATGTTTTGATTTGATTTGATTTGAGCTAGATGAATCAAAAGTTGGATTTAAGATTACTGGGAGAAATATCAACAACCTCAGATATGCAAATCATACCACTTTAATAGCAGAAAGTGAAGAGGAACTAAAGAACTTCTTGATGCGGGTGAAGAAGGAGAGTGCAAAAGTTGGCTTGAAACTCAACATTAAGAAAATTAAGATCATGGCATCCGGCCCTCTCAGTTCCTGGCAAATAGATGGGGAAGAAATGGAGGTAGTGACAGATTTTATATTCCTGGGCTCCAAGATCACCGCAGATGGGGACTGCAGCCAAGAAATTAAAAGACGCTTGCTCCTGGGGAGGAAAGTTATGGCAAATTTAGACAGCATATTAAAAAAGCAGAGACATCACCCTGCCAACAAAAGTGTGTATAGTCACACTATGGTTTTCCCAGTTGCAATGTGTGGCTGTGAAAGTTGGACCATAAGAAAGGCTGAGCGCCAAAGAATTGAGGCCTTTGAACTATAGTGCTGGAGAAGACTCCTACACGTCCCTTGGACTGCAAGGCGATCAAATGCAGTCCTAGAGGAGATCAACCCTAACTGCTCTTTAGAAGGCCAGGTCCTGAAGATGAAACTCAAATACTTTGGCCACCTAATGAGAAGGAAGGACTCCCTGGAGAAGAGCCTAATCCTGGGAACTATTGAGGGCAAAAGAAGAAGGGGACAGCAGAGAACGAGGTGGCTGGATGGAGTCATTGAAGCAGTAGGCGTGAGCTTAAATGGACTCGAGAGGATGGCAGAGGACAGGAAGGCCTGGAGGAACATTGTCCATGGGGTAACGATGGGTCGGACACGACTTCGCAACTAACAACAACAAAGGAGGCAACCGTGACAGCGCTTGCAAGGGAAAGAAGCTGCGATTAAGTCGCGGAGACAAGACCCAAAGCCAGGGGCATTTCTGCGATGGGGCGGGCCTCGGTCAGCCAAGCGCCTCCCACGGGAAACCTACCACGCCAAGGAGTGCTTCGAAAGCCGACCCCCCCCCCCCCGGCCACAGGCTCTTCAGTTAAGGGAGGAACGCGAACTTCCTACCCAGCGAGCTCGATTCCGAGCCCGGGGACCGCAATGCCAGCACTCCGCTTCCTTGGGCGGAGGCCTTCGAGGGCATTTGCGGACAGCCCTTTCCCGGACTCCGCCTGCCAAGCGAGGCTGCCGGCTGGAGACAGGCGCGGCCTAGCCTGGCCTTAAGCGCCGCCGACTCCAATCCAACCGGCCGCACTCGGCCATCGGGGCCCAGATCCGCCATCGCCCGTCTGAAGGAAGCCGCCGAGCCGCCTAGAGAGCGGCTATCCGAGGGTTCCGCCTTCCGGCCAGACGCTACTTCCGCCGCGCGGCCGCCGAACGCTGTAGCCCGCAGCGGCGCGGGGTGGCCCTCACCTCTGGGAGCGCCTTGTCGGGCGCAGCGGCCGCGTCGGCCCTGGCTAGGAAGGCAGCCAAGCGCGGCCAGGCGACCTCGGCACGGCACGGCAGCCGCTCCTGCGACATAAGGATGTCGGCCAGCGAAAGGAAGCTCTCGTCAGGACCGAGCGCGGCCTCCACTGGCGCGTAGGGATGCGCCATGGCGCCTTCAGAACCTTTCAGCAGCCCGTACGCCTGCGCAGCGGCCACAGGCGCCTGCTGCTTTTCCATTGGCTGCGAAGGGCGGGGGCGGATCCCGCCTAAGGGGTACGTGGATCTGGATTGCCACAGTTGCGGAGGAGTTGCAACGTTGTCAACTTTAAGACTTCAACTCCCAGAATTCCTCAGCCAGCATGGGTTTTCTTAATGGTCGGCTGGGAGTTGAATTCCACAGGTCTCATTGGAGAACCCTGCCCACTGAACAGGCCGCTCTTCGCCTCGGTCGCGGCCGCAGGGCGGATCGGGCTCCGCGGCCAAAATCATCGCCTTGGACATGTTGCGATGCGATCTGGTTCAAGTGCACTGCCAGAGTGCCTTTTAACCGTTAAAAGGAAGGCAGGAATTTCACTTGCTGTCAAAATCTGAATTGCTCCTCTTCTGAAAAGGAAATGATGGTTTTTTTCTCCTATGGGATCAGCTATTTTAAACCTAAAATTTTTAGATTACTGAAATTTTAAAAACAATCACGGTTTGGAGAAATCACTCGGAGCTTTCCTTACTCTAACAAATGCTTCAGAGTTTTCTGTAAACGTTTAATTTTATTTAATTTATTTCATATGTTCTTATATCCTTTCTTAAATATTGGTCTTGGACTATAAATAAATAATATAAACTCTCACCCAACTCACAGCCCTGTAATGCTCTACTCACTACTTCCCTTCAAACCTGCAATGGACTTGTCAATACACGCAGGCTGCAATTATTCAACTAACTATTCTTATGCTAACTATTCTAGCACTGATGAGGTTACCTAGCTTGGGTAATAAAACCTCTGCATAAAAGCAACCGAGTTTAGAGAGCACCAAGGACCCTAACTATATTCATCTAATGATACTATAGAATAGCCCACATTTTGGGGACTTCCGGTGGCTCCGCCGGCATCAGCGGTTGCTCCTTTGGGAGCGCTAGCCCCGTGATTTCGTTAAAACGCTAGAACAGCGAAAATCAGCTGTCTAGCAGCTTGGAAACTTTCCCCTCGGGAAAAGAGGGGAAAGAGAGCAGCCGGGTGCGGGTAGAGCTCCCCAAGAGCTCCAGGAACAATCCTGAAGCTCGAAGGGTGAGAGCTCCCCAGGAACCTGGTAGAGCTCTGAATCCGGGACGTGTCTGCTTTATGCAGAACAAGATGCCGCAACCATCCCTGCAAGCAACTTTTTAACAACATTTGGATTAAAAGCAGACAGGAGACATTATAACTGCAAGTACCAAATTTTAACTCCAGCTGAATATTGTTTCTTTCTGGGTCTGATGAGAATGGGAAAAAGTTGAAAGAAAATGGCGCTGGCTTGTTAAGGGCGTGGAAAGTGAAAGTTAAAGAAGAAAGTGCTTGTTAACTCGTTAAAGCTGTCAGCCCCATTTAACTCTAATGGACATTGTTTTAAAGAATTAAGACTGGGACTAAAAGAATAAAGTACTGACTTACTAATAAGCCATATTATTGGTTAAAGATCAAGATTAAAATATTTACTGACTTAGTGGGCTGGTTGTTGAAAATTACAATTTGGGAATGGCTTCAAAGCAGACAAAAACAGGCATTCCAAAAAGTGCTGGAAGTTCTCCTGCTCAAACCCCTAAATTGCAGTCTTTGTTGGCCCCAGTGGATACACAAGCAGAAGCACAAATGCAAACACAAGTATTGACACTGGAGGCTCTCCAAGGTGCCTTAAAGGTACAAGCCTCTGAATTGCAAGAAAAAATCACATCTGCATTTAAAGATGTCTCTGAGAAAATGGCAGCAATTAAGGACCTAATCCAAACCCGTAATCAAGAAATAAGAGAAGACATTGTGGAAGCATTTCAGGGTTTGGTGGGTCATGTTACATCGTTGGAGGAAAAGGTTGAAGAAATTAATCAATCTAATGTGAATTTGGAGATTAAAGTGGATGAAGCTCAAATCAAGATTGACAAGACAGAGGCAGAATATATAATGACACAATATAGGGTGATGGAATTTGCTTTGAGGGTAAGAGGCGTGAGAGAAAATAATCAGGAAAATTTGAAGGAGATTTTTGCAGAAGCTCTTGCACAGTTAACTGGAGAGTCCAAAGCAGAGTGTGACTGACAAATTGATAAAATTTATCATGTTAACTCATGGATTGCCAGGCAAAGACAACAACCAAGAGATATTGTGATCTACTTCGTTACCAGGAAGATAAGAAATGGGATCTTACAAGCTTCCTACAAAAACAAATTACAAGTGGCAGGACAGGAGGTTGCAGTATTCAAGGAAATTCCCCCTAAAATGTTGAGAGCTAAAAAAAGACTATACATTTCTAGTGGATGAATTGAGAAATCGTCAGATACAGTATACTGTAGATGGGAGGTTCCAGCCGGATTACTGGTGAATTATTCAGGAGAACGATATCGTCTCAATACAATTTGGAAGGCAAGAGATTTTTATGTCAATGTACTAAAGGCTGGATACCCACCATCTCCAGGAGCCAGAAAAAGAAAAGAAGCAGGAGACGTTAGAAAGGAAGGCTTGCAAGCACAAGCCCAGGGAGGGGCTTGGAGTACCCAAGAAGAATTAGTGCAACTTTCGGGGGCTGTGCAAGCCTTGGAGCTACTTGAAAAAACAGAAGAAGCCCAAGAACAAAGACAAACACGAGCAGCAACTAAACGAAAGGAACAAGAATTAAAAATGCAACAAACCCAGATAACAACCCAAGGAAGAAAAAAAAAAAAAACAGGAGGGGGGGGGGGGGGGGGCGCAAGACAGAAGAAGAAATTCCAGGAGGCTTTCCAGTCGGTGTTCAAAAGGCTTCAGGGGGCCAAAGATGGCAACTAGATTTTTAACTTGGAATGTCAATGGCTTAAACTCACCGCAAAAAAGGAAGAAAATATTTCATTACTTGAAACAATTTAAAAATGATGTAATTTGTTTGCAAGAAACACATATTAAGGCAAATGATCAAAAATATTTGATAAATGCGAGACTGGGAATATATTTTGTGGCATCTGCTCCAGAGAAGAAAAATTGTATAGTTATATATCTAAAGAAAGACTTAATGGCTAAATTAATTGAAGCAGACCTGCAAGGTAGATACATTGCAATTGAATTATTAATCGAAGGAAAGAAAGTACTTTTAGTGGTAGTATATGCACTCAATCAACAACAAGACAAATTTTACAAGTTGCTACATACAAAATTGATAAACTGGGACTATAAATCTTGTATAATGTTGGGTGACTGGAACGGAATATTAGATACTAGAATGGACAAGAAGAGACTTTGGCAAAATATTCAAATGCGAGCAAGATTGCCTAAATCCTTTTTTGACATGATGGAGGATATGGAGCTGAGAGACATTTGGCGTGAACGGAATTTTAAAGAACAAGACTTTACATTTTTCTCAGATAGGCACCAATCTTTTTCTAGAATTGATTTTATATTAATTACAAATGATTTCCTTTCTAGGGTGAAGACGAAGATATGTCCAAGAACTCTAACAGATCATAACCCGGTGTGGATGGAATTGGAACATGGAGAGGTGTCTAGGAGATCTTGGCGATTAAACGAAAATTTATTTAGATACGAGGGGAATGTGATAGAATGTAAAAAATGAATGAAAGAATTTTTTGTTTTAAATATGCATAAGGAAACATCCATGGAAATGGTTTGGGATGCAAGCAAAGCATATATGAGAGGTGTCTTAATAAATTTGAATAATGCATATAAACGTAGACAGGGGAAAAAATGGAGGGAATTAGAAGAGGAAATAAAGAAGAGCAGGTGCTAATAAATAACCCAGATGATAAGAAAACAAAAGAAGCAATTACCTTATTGCGAGGGCAGTTTAATATGTTGATAGCAGATCAGGTTGCAACTAATTTGCAATATGCTAAACATAATACCTTTTGTAATGCAAATAAGCCAGGTAGATGGTTAGCATATATGTTGAGGGGGAAAAAAAGTCTCGTACAATAGAGAAAATAGACTATAAAGGTAAAGAGGTGTACCAACAGAATATGATTAAAAAGGCTTTTTTAGAGTTTTATACGAGATTGTATGCTGATGACAAAATACAAGGTATAGATATAGATAGATACCTGGAGAAGGAGAATATTCTTACAGTTACAGATGAGCAAAGGGAAAGATTGAATCAACCGATATCCGAGGAGGAAATTCTACTGGCAATTAAGCAGTTAAAAGTTGGTAAGGCCCCTGGTACAGATGGATTGACAGCGGCTTATTACAAAAATTTACAGTTGGAAATGGTAGAACCCCTTAGGGAATTATTCACTAGAATACAATTGGGAGAAGGGGTACCACCATCTTGGAGAACAGCCTTTATTTCTCTGATTACGAAGCAAGATCAAGACCATACCCAGCCAAAAAATTATAGGCCCATATCATTACTTAATACAGACTATAAGATTTTTGCTAAAACATTAGCAAATAGGTTAATGTCAGTTATGCAACAAATGATCCATAATGATCAATCTGGTTTTATACATGGGAGACAAATGAAAAATAATGTAAGGCAAATTGTTAATATATTGGAGTATTTGGAAAGGAACAACCAAGTCCCTGCGGTGCTTATATTTTTGGATGCAGAAAAAGCGCTTGATCGATTGAACTGGCAATTTTTATTGAAAATGGTGCAGAGGTTGCAGTTTGGAGAATGTTTTACAAAATCTATTAAGGCAATATATCAGGAACAGACAGCGCAAATAATAATTAATGGTAGTTTAACAGAAACTTTTAAAATAGAAAAAGGAACAAGACAGGGTTGTCCCTTGTCCCCATTACTGTTTATTTTAACGTTGGAATTATTGTTGAACAAAATACGTGACACTGATAAAATACGGGGAATTAAGATTAGGCATCATGACTATAGATTACGAGCATTTGCAGACGACTTGGTTGTAACCTTAACTTATCCAGTGAAATCAGCTACAGGCTTAATGGAGATAATTAATCACTATGGTCAAGTATCTGGGTTTAAAATAAATATTGGGAAAACAAAGATGATAACTAAAAATATGACAATAAATCAAAAAGAAGAATTAGAAAGAGTAACAGGATGTGAGATAGTTAAAAAGTTTAAATATTTAGGAATTTATATTACAAGTTCAAATGGGAAATTATATAAGTATAATTATGAATTGTTATGGCATAAAATACAGACAGATGGATAATTGGAAAAAATTACAACTGTCTTTGTTGGGTAGAATAGCAGTAGTAAAAATGAATGTTTTGCCTAAGTTTTTATTTCTTTTTCAAATGATACCAATACTTAAAAAGGATGCGAACTTGGAAGAATGGCAGAAGGGCATTAATAATTTGGTTTGGGCAGGGAAGAACCCAAGGGTTAAATTAAAAATAATGCAAGACATACGTGAAAGAGGAGGTTTGAAAATGCCCAACTTAAAATTATACCATGAAGCAGCTGTCTTATCAGAAATTAGTGATTGGATTAATTTAACAAATGAAAGAATATTGAATATAGAAGGATATGATTTGGTTTACGGCTGGCATGCTTACTTAGTATATGACAAGAAGGTTGATAGGACTTTTAAAAGTCATATATTAAGGAATGCTTTATTTCCCATGACGCTGAAAATTCGTTCAACGTTTGCATTTGATACCGGAATTGATGCACAATACTGGAACAGTTTCAGTAAACTCGGAGCTGGCTCTTTCTTGAAAAAGTACGTCCACTTATCAAGGGATGAATCGCACTGCAGATAAACATAAACTTCTAAGGCAGAAATTTCATCGAAGAGAGTGTTGGGTGGAAGTTCTTCTCGCCATGGTGATAATAACCAGATGTTCATCATTTCTTCTAAAATTGGAGGATTATTGCGATCAATTAGATTGAAACAACTTAGCGTCTCATATACTGAATCAGTGAAATTATACCACTTTTCTAGGTACGCAATGGCTCTTTGATACACGTTGATGGCTTCTTTCTTGAACTTTTGCATGGCATTCTCAGGCAAATGTTTTTTACGTAAGGCAAATAAAACTTTCATTCCCAAAAACTGCTCATCGTATTTTTTTTGCAAAGAATCATGCAGCTTACACATGATAATGTGAAGATCACATGCACGAATTTTCTTGCTTTCCAGCTTCAATAGGGTGTCTTGTATTATTGACATGAAGAAGTGCATGAAATATAAATACAATTCTGAAATTGTTGGTTCATCGTCCTTTGCGAGTTCATTTTCCTGATCCGAAATAAGGTTCCAGATAATCTTATGGCACTCATCAGATCCAAGAGAAATAAAATACGATTTTAGAGGTATCCAGTTTAAAAGAAGTCTTTCGACCGCTTTAAACAAACTTAACCAACGTGTTGGAACATGGCGCAAAACTTCATGGAATTCTGACTCGCAAAACTCAAAAAATGATTTCAACTCTTCTCGTTTCTTCGCAGAATTTGAAAATTCGGCAAAAACCTTCAGCACTACATTTTCGATATCAAAAGATAACTGCTTTAATGCATTTTTTGTGCTGTTGTGTAAAATGTGATTATTGCAATGAGCAGCTACAATATTGTCATTTTCCAGCAATAATTTTTGGTAAACAGATTTGTTCACTCCATAATTGACAGATGCATTATCTGCTGAGTAAAGCTTTTGAATAAAAAAAATTTCCACTATTTTGTGAAAAAAAATAGTGAACATAATGTGAAAAAAGTGGACTGTCCGCTCAAATAGTGGACACCTGGCAACCCATTGGAAGAAGGAAGATTTGCCTACTATTCAAGAATGGATATTAAAAGTAGCAAATTTAGCAGAGATGGCAAAGATCTCAGCGTATTTGAAGGACTATTCAAATGAGAAATATATGATAGAATGGAGAAGATGGATAGATTATATTCAAAGTAAATATCGGACTAAAAAATTTCAAATAGTTTAGGAATAGATAGAGAGATGTTATTATGTATTCAAATTTAGTTTGGTAAATGGGAAGTTAAAGTATTAGAGGGATGTAAGAGGTTATAATTAATTAGACTGTTAGATTATGATTGTTGAATCAGAGCTGTATTTTGCTCTGGGAAGTAGGGAGCGGGGTGGGTGGGAGAGGGAGGGTTGGGGACAGTGGAGGGAAGGGGGGGATATATATATATATAAACTTTTTAAAACTTTTCAATTAAAAAAAAAAGAATAGTCCACATTTTGGCAGCTTTTCTATCATAATCAGAGTCTTGCAAACTGAATGCTTCACCGAAATCAGCGAATCAGGCTGGAAACCTCACCAAGCAAAACCAGCAAATGGAGAGGAACCGCGATTATTTCATGTCGAAGCCAAAGATGCAGTGACTCGTGCACTCTTCGGTGTAGGTGAGGAGTGCGAATTTCAAAGCAAGCTCAGCAACTTTAAGGCATGTGGACTTCAACTCCCAGAATGCGTGAGCCGACGGCCCAGCCAGGGCGGCAAAGCTCGCAGGGACCCGAAGCTCTGTCTCGCCTGCCGGGACTGAGGAGCCGCCGACGAAAGACCCGTCCGGGCGGACAGAGGAGGGCGGGGCAGGCGCGGCCACGAGACCGCAGCGCGCGCGACTTGCTTCCAGGCGTCTCCCGGGGCGGAGCGTGCGACCGTTGCCATAGCGACGCAGCAGCGCGTTGCCGGGCCAACAGGCGGGCCAACAGGCGGCGTGGCGGATCCGAGTGTCGGCCTTCGGGGCTTGGAGTGGACGCGCTCGGCTGGCTTGAGTCCCCTCGAACGCCTTCCCGTTGCCGACCCACTCCTGAACGGAGCCCGGGAGGAACTGCCGCCGGGGACCTTCCGTGAGGCGTTTCGGGGATCACTTCGTCTGTCCGCTTGGTGAGTCCTGGGCTGCCCCACCGCCCGCCCGATGTACGGGAAGCGCAGCCGGGGCGCCCGGGAAGGCTCGGCCGGCGGTGGGCGAAGCGGCGAGCGGGCGGGTTTCTGCCAGGCTTCCTCCCCGCCTGCGCTCCTGGTTTTTACAGTCTGTAAGCCTGAAATGCAGGGCTACGCGAAGGCTTTGGCTGCCGGGGGGAGGGGCGGGGTTAGTAGGTAATGCAACCTCCGCCCGCAGGAACCTCCGCGCCGCCCTTCCCGTCTGGAGGAGGAGGAGGAGGAGGAAAGCGGGGCAGCAGATTCCATCCTCAGCCTCCCTGAGATCTGGGTGCCCCGCCTGCAAAGGCCCTTTGGGGACACCCGGCTGGCCAGCAGCCGTCAAGGGAAGGCAGCCCGTTCCCTGCAACGGCCCCAATTCAAAGGCGGCGGCGGCGGCGGCGTCTGCCCTGCGGGCTTAGTCTGGAGACGGGAGCTTCTCTCGCAGAACCGGGCAGCTGTCAGACCCAAAGGAAGAAACTGAAAGAGATCCCGACTGCTTCGTTGTTGCTGAAACAGGAGCCAGCGTTTACAAGGGAAAAAATAATACCTGCAAGATAGAAATCAGACCTTACGGGGTTTTTTTTACTCCTTTTCCCCTTGAGGATCTATTTCTCATTGACAGTCCAAATAAAACTGTGCCTTTCAGATAATTCCCTTTCCCAGATTTTAAAGAAGCTTATTCTTCTTTCAGAGGCTGACAAAGATGCTAACCGAACGAACCCGGAAATCTCTACTTCCTTTGAAGTTACCTGAAGGATTTCAGAGCAAAGTGGTTGCACCACGCAATGCAAAGTTGGTTACAGAAGAAAAGAAGGACACTCCAGTATGTTCCTTTGGGGATGGATGGACTCATGCGGATATTTAAAAATGGGTCATGGGTAAAGGAAAACTTCCTTGGGTTGATCTTCACACCTGTTGATTATATGGCCTCAATTGTGTTGTTTTCTTGACAACATTAATGCTTTACCACTGCCTTCTGCTTGCCTGATTTTTGACTTCCCAGTAGAACAACAACACTTTATTAAATTTGCATGTCACTGGACTCTCAACAACTTTGGGTGACTCACAGCAACCAGCAAAGAAATTACAATAAAATCAGTAAATTATAAAAATTTGATAGCAAGTATGATGACTAAAGGAAGACACACTCCCTTGCTGAAGGCCTGGGTGAAGGTTGGCCTACTCACCAACCTTGAGCTTTCTTGATGGTCTGAAAACACTCATTTCCCAGAAAGCAAACTAGAACAACTGAGAGCCAGTTTGGTCTAATAAAGCATCATGCCAGAAACCAGGAAGTTCTAGTCTCATTTTAGGCATAAAAGCTCCTGGGTGATTTTGGGCCAGTGCCTCTGTCTGAGCCCAACTCCCCTCACAAAGTTGTTATTGTGGGGGGAAAAGGAGGAAGAAGGTGTGTCAGATATGTCTGTCACCTTGAATAATTTATAAAAATAATAAAGATAGATTAAAAAATTACATCTAAAAAAATAGCTTAACCAAAAATACAATTCCAAAACAGGTGAAGTCTGAGACTGAACTTGCATTTTTCAGATCCAGCATCCAATTCATTGAGGAATGTCAGGATAAATGGGCCCAAGAAATGAAGTACTGGTAGTCCTTGACTTAAGATGTCAGTCGGGACTGGAATATCTATCGCTATACAAGGCATCACTTAGTGATGACAATCCCTGCACTTCCAGCTCCTGCCATTACCCGAGCTTCATGAATCCCATAGTCCTTAGGCAAGGCAATTTCCTGCCAGCTTCTCACACCAAAGTGTCAGTGGGTAAACAAGCAGGAAGATGCTAGTCAACAGGCTGCAGGTGCCGGATGGGGGAAGGAGCAAGGAGGTATGAGGAGGCTTCAGGAAATCACAGGGAGGGAGGGCAATGTATGAATGAAGACATGGGAGGCACAGGTCAGTGAAGTGGCCCCAGCGGGTGGTGGGAGAAGTGCTATGAGATCAGAGGAGGGCGCATGGAACTTCAAGACCTGGTTGTAACCACTGTTCATTCAGCACAGTTGTAATATCAGCTTTGCTGAGCAAATAGTGGTAGGTTGAGGACTACTGACCACCAAGGGCTGCAGGATGGTTAGATATACTTTACTTAGTGTATCACAGGCTCCCGTTGCATAGAAATCAAAGTTAATGAAAATCAATGTAATACAACACAAAGAATGCAACCTCTCCACAATTACCCATTCAGAAATGGCTTTGTTCAACCTAAGGAAAATAGGGAAGCATAGAAGAAAGCTCCAAATTAATGTTATTACAAATGAAAATTCCAATAATTGAAATGGACGATCTGCATTTATGACTTTTTAAAGAATTTCGGTGGGAAATAATTATTTTTCTTGGATTCCACCACAACAGGTTGTAAGCACCTCTCATGAAACAGGAACAGCAGGAAGAGCCAATCTTGATGAAGGTGTTGATGCACTTTTGCTTCTTTTTGCAGCTGACACCCTCGGCTTTTCTGAAAGAGATATCTCTCACAACGGAACAAAGGCTTGCAAGCACCCATGAAGTACACTTGCCTCGCATTATTCAGCTTTTGGACATGAGTGAAACCTCACACCAGAAAGTAAGCATTTTTTCTACTTTAGTGCAGGACTTCTTGCAATACGCAGGCATGAAAAGATATGGCACAGGATTTTTATATTAAATATTTTTAATATAAAAATATAAAATTTTAATATAAAAAGATATACCGTATTTTTTGGAGTATAAGACACACCTTTTTACCCCCAAAATTTGGGCGCGTCTTATACACCGGATGTAGCCCCACCCTCCCGCTGGCCCCCACCCTTTGGCCTGTGCCTCGCAGCAGTTACCTCTTTGCAAGCAAACAGCAAGAAAAAACAGCTCCTTTCAGCTTCAGCATAGGCTAATTAGCACAAGTTGATTAGACTGGCCTCCCGACTCTCAGCTGTTTTGCGCACGGCTCTGCTGCTTGCTGCAAAGAGTGCTGGAGCAGATTTTTTCCCCCTTGTACTAATCAAGCTATGCTGAAAGTAAAACTGAAAGTAAAGCAGGCTGTTTGCTGCAAGAGGCAAAATTAGGCAGAAGGAGATTTCTTTTTCTTCTTTTTCCTCATCAAAAAAGGTAGGTGCAAACAATAGGAAACTTAGGGCAAAAGAGGAGAGTTCAAGATTTTAAAACACAAAAGAAAAAAAGGAGAAAGAAAAAGGCAAAAATAAAAATGGGGAGAAAAAGAAATGAAAGAGAAAAATGTTATATATATTTAGAATTAAAATATGAATAGTAATAAGAAATAAATGGGAAATCATGATTGTAAAAATGAAATGAATAATAATTGGAATATTTATCTTTGTATTTTTGAAATCTAGACAATGATAGGTTTTTATTTTTTTATTTTTTTTAGAAATATGAATAAGTATAAACTGTAACAATTGAAATACCTTTAATGGTATATGGTGGTGAAAGTAAAAAGGATTAAATTATAGCTTGGATAACAGCTAGAACATTTTTAAATTTAATTAGGGAAATTGTAATGATTGAAATATTTTTAATTATATATTGTGATGAAAGTAAAAATTATTAAGTTGTTATTTGGAGGATTATATGGGCAAAACTGTGGGTTATTGGGAGAGTTTAAGATGTGAAAATGAGTAACATAAGACGGGAAAATTATCTGATTTATTATTATTGGTAAATATTTATTTATTTATTTATTTATTTATTTATTTATTTATTTATTTATTATATTTCTATACTGCCTTTCTCCCGTAGGACTCAAGGCGGTGTACAGTCAAGAAAAATATAGACACACAAACATCATAAAATTGCTAATTAAAATTATTACTTAGTTTGGTCAATTAAATAAAACCCAGAATTAGATAACATTTAAAAAATCATTCACATGTTCATATGTTTAGCTCCGCCTGTTGGAACATCAGGGTCTTGAGGGCATGGCGGAAAGCACGGAGATCAGGGATATTCCGTATCTCTGGGGGCAGTTCATTCCTAAGGGTTGGAGCCCTCACAGAGAAGGCCCTCCCCCTGAGAGTCGCCAGTCGACATAATTTGACTGACGGTACCCTGAGTAGTCCCTCCCTGTGAGAATGAACTGGTCGGTGGGAGGCTATTGGTGGCAAAAGACGGTCTCGTAGGTACCCAGGTCCTAAGCCATGGAGCGCTTTAAAGGTGATAACTAACACCTTGAATCGCACCCGGAAGACCACCGGGAGCCAGTGCAGCTTGCGTAGGAGAGGTGTTACATGGGCATAACGAGCTGCGCCCATAATCACCCGCGCGGCTACGTTCTGGACCAGTTGGAGCCTCCGGGTGCTTTTCAAGGGGAGCCCCATGTAGAGAGCATTACAGTAGTCCATACGGGAGGTAACTAGGGCATGAGTGACCGTGCGCAAGGCGTCCCAATCCAGAAAGGGACGCAACTGGCAGATCAGGCGAACCTGATAAAAGGCACCCCTGGCCACGGCCGTCAAATGATCTTCTAAAGATAACCGTGAATCCAGGAGGACACCCAAGTTGCGGGCCCTCTCTGTGGGGAGCAAGATCTCATCCCCTATTGTCAGTGATGGTACCAGCTGACTATACCGGGACGCCGGAAGCCACAGCCACTCGATCTTGGAGGGGTTGAGTCTGAGCTTGTTTCTCTCCATCCAGATCCGCACGGCCTCCAGGCAACGGGACATCACAGCAAGGGCATCATTGGGGTGGTCTGGGGTGGAGATGTATAGCTGTGTGTCATCAGCATACTGATGAACACTCACCCCAAAACCACGGATGATCTCGCCTAGCGGTTTTACATAAATGTTGAACAGAAGGGGTGAGAGGACTGACCCTTGCGGCACCCCACAAATAAGGTGCCTCGAGGTCGACCTCTGCCCCCCTGCCAACACAAACTGCGAACGGTCAGAGAGGAAGGAGGAGAACCACCGAAGCACGGTGCCCCCTATTCCTAACCCCTTCAGCCGGTGCAGTAAGATACCATGGTCGATGGTATCAAAAGCCGCTGAGAGAACTAATAGGACCAGGATAAAGGAGCAACCTCTGTCCCGAGCCCTCCAGAGATCATTCACCAACGCGACCAATGCCGTTTCTGTGCTGTATCGTGACCTGAAGCCCGACTGGAACGGATCCAGATAGACAACTTCATCCAGGTATCGGGGTAGTTGTCGCGCCACCACACTCTCAACAACCTTCGCAACAAAGCGAAGATTGGAGACTGGACGATAATTTGATAATATAGCCGGGTCCAGGGAAGGCTTCTTGAGGAGGGGCTTCACAACCGCCTCTTTCAAGGTGGCGGGAAAGACACCCTCACTCAGAGAAGCATTTATAATCCCCTGGAGCCAGCCTCGTGTAACCTCCCGGGAGGCCAGTACCAACCAGGAGGGACACGGGTCCAATAAACATGTGGCAGCGTTAAGCTTGCCCAGAATCCTGTCCACGTCCTCAGGAGTCACAGAGTCAAACTCTTCCCAGATAACGCTCTCAAGACCTGCCCCCGTCTCCTCCCCTGGATCTACCCAATCGGAGTCCAGGCCTTCGCGAATCTGAGCGACTTTATCATGCAGGAATTGTACAAAATCCTCAGCTCGACCCTTTAAGGGATCTTCCCGTACCCCCACCTGAAGTAGGGAGCAGGTCACCCTAAACAGTGCGGCTGGGCAGTTCTCTACAGATGCAATAAGAGCGGAGAAGTAGCTAGACTTCACCGCTCTTATCGCCACTAGGTAGGTCTTAATATAAGATCTCACCTGTGTTCGGTCAGATTCAGATCGGCTTGTCCTCCAATCACTCTCCAGGCGTCTTTTCCGACGCTTCATCTCTCTCAGCTCCTCGGAAAACCAAGGAGCTAGACGAGATCGGCATCGGGTCAGAGGCCGCAAAGGCATGACGCGGTCCAAGGCCCCAGTAGCCGCCCTGTCCCAGGCGACCACCAGTCCTCAGTCGAGTCATGAGCCAGAGTCTCAGGAAATAGCCCAAGCTCCATCAGGAACCTTTCAGGGTCCATCAGGCGCTTCCATCTCCCTGCGGTGGGTGGAAGTGACTTGAAATATAATTAATTGATTTGTAAGAAATTGGATTGCATGGAAATAATTGGAATATTCATGTTCATATTGATTAATATACAAAAAAGATAGTTATATAACTATAACTATTTGGCTCTGGCACACGGCTCGACTGAGGAGCTGGTGGCCACCTGGGATAGGGCGGCCGCTGGAGCTTTGGATCGGGTCGTGCCTTTGCGGCCTCTGACCCGGTGCCGATCTTGCCTGGCTCCTTGGTTCACCGAGGAACTGAGGGAGATGAAGCGCTGGAAAAGACGCCTGGAGAGCGGTTGGAGGGCCAACCATTCTGAATCTGACCGAACACTGGTAAGGTCTCATATTAAGACCTACCTGGTGGCGATAAAAGCGGCAAAGTATAACTAATTTGCCGCTCTTATTGCGTCATCAGATAATCGCCCAGCCGCCCTGTTTAGGGTGACCCGCTCCCTGCTCCACCAGGAAGTGCAGGAGGACCCCTTGGAGGGTAGAGCCGAGGATTTTGTACAGTATCTGTATGACAAAATCACTCAGATTCGGGAACACCTGGACTCTGACTGGGTCGATTCAGGGGGGAGGACAGAGGCAGGTCTTGTGCGTATTATCTGGGAAGAGTTTGATTCTGTGACGCCCGAAGACTTGGACAGGATACTGGGCAGACTGAGCGCAGCCACATGTTTACTGGACCCGTGTCCCTCCTGGTTGGTGCTGGCCTCTCGGGAGGTTACACAAGGCTGGCTCCAGGGGATTTTAAATACTTCTCTGAGGGAGGGTGTCTTCCCCGCCGCCTTGAAAGAGGCGGTGGTGAGGCCTCTCCTCAAGAAGCCTTCCCTGGACCCGGCAGTGTTGGCAAATTATCGTCCAGTCTCCAACCTTCTCTTTGTTGCGAAGGTTGTTGAGAGTGTGGTTGCGCGACAGCTCCCCCAGTACCTGGATGAATCGTTGTATCTGGATCCGTTCCAGTCGGGCTTCAGGCCTGGGTACAACATGGAAACGGCATTGGTTGCATTGGTTGATGATCTCTGGAGGGCTCGGGACAGGGGTTGTTCCTCTGTCCTAGTCCTATTAGACCTCTCAGCGGCTTTTGATACCATCGACCATGGTATCATGCTGCACCGGCTAGAGGAGTTAGGGGTGGGGGGCACCGTCCTACGGTGGTTCTCCACCTTTCTCTCTGACCGGTTGCAGTCCATGTTGACAGGGGGGCAGAGGTCGACCCCGAGGCCCCTTGTATGTGGGGTGCCACAACAGTCGGTCCTCTCATCCCTTCTGTTCAACATTTATGTGAAGCCGCTGGATGAGATCATCCGTGGTTTTGGGGTGAAGTACCATCAATGCGCTGACGACACTCAGCTGTACATCTCCACCCCGGACCACCCCAACTATGCCCTTGAAGTGATGTCCCGGTGCCTGGAGGCCGTGCGGATCTAAATGGGGAGAAACAGACTCATGCTCAACCCATCCAAGACCGAGTGGCTGTGGTTTCCGACATCCCGATATAGTCAGTTGGTGCCATCACTAACTATTGGAGGCGAGTCATTGGCCTCCACAGAGAGGGTTCGCAACTTGGGTGTCCTCCTGGACTCACAGCTGTCTTTGGAAGAGCACATGACGGCCGTGGCCAGGGGGACTTTTTATCAGGTCCGCCTGATTCGCCAGTTGCGTCCCTTTCTGGATCGGGACTCGTTAAATACGGTCACTCATGCTCTCGTTACTTCCCGCTTGGACTACTGCAATGCTCTCTACATGGGGCTCCCCTTGAGGAGCACCCGGAGGCTCCAGCTAGTCCAGAATGCGGCCGCGCGGGTGGTTATGGGAGCGACGTGGCGCTCCCATGTGACCCCCCTCCTGTGCGAGCTGCACTGGCTCCCGGTGGTCTTCCGGGTGCGCTTCAAGGTTTTGGTTACCACCTTTAGAGCGCTCCATGGCATCGGACCGGGGTATTTACGAGACCACCTTCTGCTACCAATAGCCTCTCACCGACCAGTACGCTCCCATAGACAGGGGCTTCTCAGGGTGCCGTCAGCCAAACAGTGTCGACTGGCGGCCCCCAAAGGGAGAGCCTTCTCTGTGGGGGCACCTACCACCTACCATCTGGAACGAGCTCCCCCCAGAGATACGGAGGATCCCGGACCTGCGCACGTTTCCTCGTGCTCTCAAAACTTTTTTGTTTCAGCAGGCTGGCCTGGCCTAATTCTCCTTTTTAAAATTTTTTATTCGTTTGATTTTATAAATTGGGTGTTTTAATCTGTGTTTCGGCCAAAATATTTAATAATTTTAAGGGACTTTTAATATTTATATTATCTGTATTTTATCTTGGCTGTTCACCGCCCTAAGTTCTCCGGAAGTAGGGCGGTATAGAAATTTGATTAATAAATAAATAAATATAATTGATTTATATTGAAATGTTGAATTTGTATTAAACAATTGTAATATTACATAATTAACCCACATTGATTATGATAATTACATAATCAATGTGAGGATGGATATAAAAATAGATGACAATGGGAAGGGGTATAATATAGAATAGAAGGGAAAACATTGAATTTGATTAAGATTAGAGATGAGGATGAAGGGTAATATTGGTTTATAAATATAAACAATAATAAATAAATAAATAATAAATAAATAAATAAATAAATATAGAAATTGTAAATTTAATTGAAATGACTAAACACTGTTTAAATTTGTGAACCAGCCAAATACTCTGTTCAAAGAAAATTCATTGTATGTTTGTATGTGTGTTTGTCTAAAAAAAAAAAAAAAAAAAAAAAAAATTTTTTTAAAAAAACCCAAAAAATGTAGGTGCATCTTATACTCCGGTGCATCTTATACTCTGAAAAATACAGTATATTTATATTAAAAAAGAGAAGGGATGCCAAAGATAATATGAATTGTTTGAAAAATCCTAAGGCAAAATTTGATGTGGCATCTAGGAAGTGGGAGTGGAAAATGTGCACCTTTGTATGATCGGGACCATGTCTCAAAATGGCATCCTTGGAGTTGTGCCTATTGATGGCAGACATCGAAACAAGAACATTCAAATGGGGCTGTTTTTCATTTTACCCCATGCAATACCAATTTATTAAAGTGAACCTTCAATTTAATTGATTTCTGTTTAGCAGAATTTAGATGCATCTGAATAAGGTATGCCATGTATTACATGCTCGGATGTATTCCTGTCTGCCACCTTATGCACATATGAAATGCCTGACATTATTGTAATAGAGGAACAGTTTGGTCTAGTGATTAAGGTTAGAAACCGGGATACTGTGAGTTCTAATACTGCCTTAGGATCTAGTCCCTAGAATATAGAGAACTAAGCCTCGGGGCTCTCTCAACTCTGGCCATATGGGGGTCTGGCAAATCTCTGGTGCTTTGAAGGGCCCTGTCAGAGGCAGAGGCAGCCAAAAGCTTTTCTCTCCAGGAAATCTCTGACTACTAGATAGCCCAGAAGATTTGATAGATTCCAAGCTGTAGTCCTCAGACATTGACTTATGTGATTGCTATATGTAGTTTTTCACACTTACCACTGTTGCAGCATCCCCATGGTTATGTGATTAATATTCAGGCACTTGACAACTGACATGAATTGATGATAGTTTCAGTGTCTCGGAATCATGTGATTCCTTTTTGTGACTCTCTGACAAGCAAAGTCAATGGGGAAGCCAGATTCACTCAACAACCGGGTTCCTAACTTAACAACTGCAGGGATTCACTGTGGCAAGAAAAGTCGAAAATGGAACAAAATTCACTTAACAACTGCGTTGCTTGGCAATGGAAATTTTGAGCTGAATAGTGGTTGTAGGTTGAGGACTGCATGTATTTGCTATTTGAGTATCTTGTAGGGAAAAAAATCAGGCCCACCTCATGTTTTGTGGCTTCCTTGGCAAGCTTGCGCTCTGCATGGCTAAGGAAGAACCGATGGCTGGATGAATCAGTGGCCTGGAGTGGCTTCATTCTGTGGCAGAAAGAATTAGGGCTGATTCCCAGCTGCTGAGATTTGGCTGCAGTAGCCAAGGGGGAGACTATTGTTTCCTAGGCCACAGGGTGGGAGCAACCTGGACTGCCCTCCTTCCAGTTAGATATGGTGAAGTGACAGGCTCAGGAGCAAAGGGCCTGACACTCCAATAAAGGAGAACAAACGGCCATTGGTTTTACCATCCCAAATTCATTTAATAAATTAGGAGAAACAGGTTCCAAACAGAATATCAGTTAACTCAGAATGAATTTTACACACTTTTAATTTGAATTTTATTTAGTTATTTAATTTATATCCCACCTTTATTTCTTTGATAAGGAGCTCAAGGGGGTAAATATATCTAAAATTCATTCTTCCTCCTAATTTTCCCACAACAATAACCTTATGAGGTTGGCTTGGCTGAGAGAGAGTCTTGTATTATTGTTATGGATTGAACCAGTAGAGGCTAAACCAATTTCATTGTATACATGATGTACAATGACAATAAAGACTATTATTATATTATTATTTACTTACAAAGGCAGCTGTGAGTAACCTGAGTTGTTGACTGTGGCAAGGTTTTAAACCCACCTCACATTTTGGTCAAGTATACTGTTTTGGTCTATTTAATGGATATTATTGCCAATGTTAGCTACTCTTTACCTGATCCCTTAATGGTTATAGATACAGTGTATGCACTAAGCAGCCCCAGTATTTCTATCTGTTGCTCTGCATCTTCAGTTCTCCTCTGTTGATCTGGATCGGACTCTGTTTCAACCGTTCCCATCAGAAGTGGTTTTTCAAAACTATGCCTCTTGTGAGCTGTACGAAGTACCACTGATCCTGAGGAACAACGACAAGGTAGTCTTCATCAACAGAATTGGGATATAGTTTGTGGGAGGTGGGGGTCATGGGAGGAAAACCTCTTAGGTTTCAAAGATAAGAACTTTACAATGGGAGCTTTTCCTATGGATTGATAATCCTCCTGATAAGCTCTTTCAAGAGAAAGATTTGCTTTAATGCAACCTATTGAAAGATGAGCTATAACAATATCTCTTTATTGTATTTTTCTTACTACTCTGAATTGAAAAATTTCCAGTTTTAATGAAAATTTAAGGCTTCACTCATACTTTGAACACTTCACTTTTAAAAATCCTAGCAAGATTATTTTAATTATTCTTTCTGGTTCCCATTTTGAGACTGCAGGGGCAGAAGGTTCAACTTCTGTACTGCCAGTTTTGTCCTCTGGAAGAATACTTGAATCGCAATGAACTATTTAAGGATGGAGAGAGTGAAGTAGAATTTCGTGCTATTGTTTATTTTTAAACTTCAGCCTCCTGGTTTTACTTCAACTGTCAGAATTTACTCTCGGGATCCTAAGATATTCAGACATTCTGTTGGGGTTGGGTTTTTATCAGAATAGCTGAGTTAATACAGTTATGTAGTACATTTTTTTATTTAATTGAACAATCGTAATGAGATTATATGGCTTCTGCATCCTTTATATTTGTAGTCACAAATAGTCCAGAATAATTTTCCTACCCTTCAAATGGGTATTTAGTTTCCTTCCAGTTTTATAATAAGTTACTTTACATTAATAAAATGCAGTGCAGAATTATTCTAATTCTTGTTATTTTTCTCATCAGTTTTTTCTCAGTTAAGCAAAGAATTGCACAACATGTTAAGGTTATTTAATTTGTAATTATTTTGTCTTCTGTTATATTTCTGGAAAAATACATCCATCTCATCTGAAACTAACTCTTTTACCTTTTATCTTTAAAAAGATTATGCTAAAAGGGAATAAAGTTTAAACCTTATACTTAGAAGTCTTTCTATTTCCAATTTTAATCAAGTTGCTACCTTTGGAACTTCATTATAAAATCTGTGCAGTGGAAATAAGATAAAGAAAACCTTAATGCAACATTCCTGAACCATGCCAGCACTGAAATACAACTTCAAGAGCTTCTATGTTCAAATAGCATTTAAATTTTGCTGCAGAAAAGACAAATCTGTATTTAGTATCCCCAGAAATATTATCTCCAAATAATGAGAAGTAGTGATTCCATTTATTTTGTTTTGATCAGACCCTCTCCTCTTGAATATTAAGTCCGTTTAGTGGACTGCCTAAGAAGAATTCAACCATATTCAAATAGGTTCAGAGAAGTGCAGTGAGAAAGATGAGAGGCTTAGAAATTGTGCCTAGCTAATCTAAATGATTATGGCTTCTAGGATCACGTGAACTACATCTCTGGATATTGAAAGAACTAGCAGGGTAACTGCAGAACCCCTCTGGGAAAACAGGTATGGTCCCAGAACACTGGAGAAGGGCTAATGGGGAAGAGGCAGGACCTAGGAAATGACAGGCCCATGAACCTGACATCAAATACTTTGAATAGCCCTGCCTGTCAGTTAATTACTTAGTTCATTAGTTTACAGGAACCAATATATCTTGAACAATCGAAGTCACATCAATTTTGTGATCATCTTTTGTGACAGTTGTTAGCTTGATCAGGCAAATGCTGTAGATATAGTACATCTAACTTCCTCAGAGTTTTTGACAGTGTCTCTCAAAGCATCTTAACAACGTTGTCAAATTATGGCTTTGCGAACTCATTAGATAAATCCAAAGTTAGCTCAAAGATCACAGGAGGCTTTCAAGAAGAGACTAGACAGCCATTTCTTTGAAATGGTATAGGGTCTTCTGTGTAGCAGAGGTTTGGACTAGACGAGCTCTAGTCTTGGAAAAATTTGCTTCCAACTCTCTTATTTGTCTTATCATTTTCAAAGGTAGTTATAAATGGTGTTCAAGCTATCTGGAGAGACATCTCAAGTGGGATGGCACAGGTCTGTGAGCCTGGTGCTGTTCAGTGGTTTGATAAATAAAATGGATGAGAGAGTTGAGGAAATGGTTACCAATTCTGCAGATGATACAAAGCTAGTGTGGGTGACTAATACTTGAAAAGGAAAAAGTTAAGGGAAACTCGAATGCAAGCTGGAAGTAAACAAATAGAATGAAACTTAACAGGGAGAAATGTAAAATCATGCATCTTGCTGGCATCTTGTTAAGAAAAATGAAAGAAAGATGTGCAGATTAAGGGAAATTTGCTCATGAGCGGCACTCAGGAGGAGGACTTTGGTGTACTAGTGTACTAATAAAAGTCCAACATGTTCCAACAGTAGAAGGGAAATAAATAAAACACAATACAAACTAAACACAGAAAGGAAAATAAAAATAAAGAGAAGAAAAAGTGCAAGAAAAAAAAAGAAACAGGAAAGAATAAAAAAATAAAAGAAATATTTAAAAAAGTGACTTCTGATCATCATAAAAAGTACAAGGAGTAAGTCTTTACCCAAAAAGGTTACATGCAGGTATCTCTTCTTTCCCTTCACTGGAGATTTTCAAATAGGCTGGATAGGAAATGGTGTACTGAATCGTGCAGTAGACTTGATGACCTCTTAGGTTCTATAAAGAGAGATCCATGCACTCGGAAGCATCATGACTTTCTGATTGGCTCATTGGCTGAGTGGAAAGAAGCAGAATGATTAGGTCACTGAGACTAACAGTTAAAAGGGACCTTGGAGGGCTTCTAGTCCAACCCACTGCACAAGCAGGAGACCCTATCCTATTTCAGACAAGTGCCTGTCCAGTCTCTTCTTAAAAGCCTCTAGTGAACCCATAATTTCTGGAGGCAAGTCGTTCCACTGGTTAATTGTTCTAACTGTCAGAAAATTTCTCCTTAGTTCTAGGTTGCTTCTCTCCTTGATTAGCTTCCATACATTGCTTCTTGTCCTGCTTTCTGGTGCTTTGGAGAATAAATTCTTCTTTGTAGCAGCGCCTCAAATATCAGAAGACTGCTATCATGTCACTGTCTATCAGGTCACTGCTATTAAATTGGTTTAGTTGTGCATGACTTTATTTTGTTTGTTCTGGGTTAAATGTAAGCCTCTTAGAGTTGAGTGGACTGTGTAATTCTATTTGGTGTCCTCACCACACAAATCCCAGAATCGATCCAGTGGCAATCCAGGATGGTAAGATTATAGTGTAACAATAAATAATAAATAAAAAGGACTGCCCATTTGCCCGGGGCATTTTTTCTTGCTCAAGATGCCTGTTTGCTATGTCTTGAAGTGGGTTTAAATACTTCAATTGTCACCAGCCCCCCATTTACCAAACAAAAGCCCCACTGTTTTCTTGCAGTCTTGATTTAATCTGTTCACTGAATGCCTCCCTTACTTCCTGCAGATCCCACGGCTTGTAAAGATTGTTTGTGAGAGTTCACCTTACTTCAGAGTCATTAGCCCCAACGATGTGTGTAACAAAGTCGCACCTGGCATGCCCTCCACATTCCGCATTCTCTTCACTCCTGAGGAAAACAAGGTAACTCTTTTCTGATGCATCTACAAAGCCATTCTCTATAAATATGCCAACCCCCTTCCTCTGTTTCCCCCAGGCTGACAGAAAATCACTTTTGTCATAATGATTACAAAACTGGCAGACTGAATGCATGAATCCTAGCAGTACTAAAATACAAATCTGTGAAACACACAACATATGTATGTGTGTGTGCATGTGTGTGAGTGTGTGTGTGTGTGTGTGTGTGTGTGTGTGTGTGTGTGTAGAGAGAGAGAGAGAGAGAGAGAGAGAGAGAGAGAGAGAGAGAGAGAAGGATGGTGGAAGCAATATTATGATGAAAGTAATGCATATACAAAGGAGGCAAGTCTTGGATTACAATAATACTTCCTTTATCTTGTCCTACTTCTGGACACTGCTGCCTTCAAACAAGATGACAGAGAATTAGTCTTAGAAGAGAAGATAGACAGAAACTGATCTGACTGGTTTAGTTAACATGTATGAAGAGAGCCATGGGTTATTAAACAAGCCTCAATAGCAGGCTTTGTACTTGTATTGACTATCTATCTACAATGAATATCTGTATTGCAAGAAGATTGCTGGATATTTCCAACTTTCCATGAGTTTGTGGAGATTCTCCTTACTTCCCTATCCTTGCAAACTGTGTTTTTTCCCATAACATCAATTTATACATTGCTTTTTGCTCTATAAATTTTTCACCTCTCCTTTTGAGAAACTCATCAAGTCCAACGACCAAGAATCTGGTCCCAAGTGTGGTCATAAGATGAAGACTACCTATTTGCAAGGGCCCTGAACTGTAAGGGTCATGGAGGGATTTCTCATTTTTCACATTCTTCTTTCTACCCAGGATTATTTCCATGAATTAACTTGCATTACTGAGAGGGAAAAATTCATTGTGCCTATCCGAGCAATTGGTGCCCGAGGCATTTTGGATTTCCCAGACCAACTGAATTTCTCTACATCTCCCGTCAAGTACAATACACAGAAAACCCTGCTTGTTCGGAACATTGGCAACCGAGATGCCTACTACCAGATTACCACCCAGAGGTGAGGTCCATGAATTTTCTCCCGAAAAGGGTTAGGCAAGGCCGAAAGGGTTAGGCAAGGGAAATATACATCAGCAATAAGTTTGCCAGTGGTTTGGATTTTTATCTTCCAAAATAACAGATTTGACAGATATAGAGGCATAGTGCACCAAAAGCCTTTTTTGTGCTATGTTAGAAAGTGCCCATCCTGAGCTACAAATGTTCTCTTCTATTCAATATCCGATGGCTTTGAGCAGCACTTAAGGTAAAGCTAAAGGTTCCCCTGCACATGTGTGCTAGTCGTTTCCGGTTCTAGGGATGGTGCTCATCTCCTTTTCTAAACTGAAGAGCCAGCACTGTCCAAAGTCTCCGTGGTCATGTGGCCGGCATGACTCAACACCAATGGTGCACGGAGCACTGTTACCTTCCCATCAAAGTGGTGTCTATTTTTCTACTTGCATTTTTTACATGCTTTTGAACTGCTAGGTTGGCAGAAGCTGGGACAAGTAACGGGAGCTCACTCCATTGAGCAGCACTTAACCTCCTTCAAAACAGTGGCTCTGCTCAAGTATTTCAGCAGGCCATGAATCTGAGTGAGTTTGCTTCTTGCTCACACTTGCCACCTTCCTTGCCACCCTCCTCTTGTGGGTCAACCCCCTCCTGTGCTTCCAGATGAGGCAAACAATGGTTTACCACTAACTAATGTAGCAATGAAAAGGGGGAAGTGACGCCATGAGAAGAGTAAACTCCCCTCATATGCGTCTGAATGAGGCTTCTTTGAAAGCCAAGTTCCATTTATTTATTTATTTATTAGTTTGTCAAACATGTACAAGATAGCAGGTATGAATATGAACAAGGACACAAACGAAGGAAATGAATACAGATAAATTGGGACAGTAGGATAGGGACAGTAGGCACACTGGCGCTTATGCACGCCCCCTTTATGGACCTCTTAGGAATGGGGTGAGTTCCATGGTAGATGGTTAAGGTTAAGGTTGAAGCTGAACAATTTTCTATTCTGTTAAATTTTATTCTATTACTTTCAGTTCATTTCTCTTTGTCTTGATCATTTAGAATTTTATTTTTGCTTTCTACAAAATTGACTATCCCAATTCATCCTCAATATTTATTATTTATGCGGAATTTATTTTTTCATTGCCTTGGTTTATACTTCTCTAGGTGATTAACAAATCAAATCATAATAATGCAAATCATAAACAAATAAATTCCTTTAAACACAGTAAGCTTTAAAATAGCTCACTGGTGATCAGCTAGGAAATGAAATATGGTTGGATCTAATGGAAAAGTCCTAGTTTAAGCCCCCAAAAGCTGGCTAAAGTTGGGGTTAGTCGGATACATCAGAGAGTTAGGGCAAGCAATGGAGAATCATTTCTTCCAGGCCCCTTTATCCCCAAGCAGAGCAAACCTGAGGCATTCCTTCCCAAGCAAAATGACAACCCAGTGATTCATAGTTCACGTGAAAGAAGAGATCCTGTAGCTCTTTTGAGAGAGGGTCCCTCTTATGCTACCTTGCTTGAGATAGCCAAAGGAAATAATCTGCAGGTGAGCTGAAGAATAAATTCAGCCGAATGTCCTGTTCTGATGGGCAGGTATGAGCATGAATGCATGATATTTCTCTGGCCAGTTTAGATTGCAATGAAGTTAACATATAATGAAATTGTAATGAAAAATAAAGCTTCCAGAAGGCTACGGTGAGACCTCCAGGCTGCAGCACAGAAGCATTTATACCTTCAGCAGTAACAGAACTTGCAGTGTGCTGCCCTCAATGGAAAAGTTGGGATAAATGCAGAGCTGCGTCTGTCTTGAAAATCACCTATGTTGAACTATATAGCACAGTCAAACATGAGCACAAGAAATGTCTTTTGACATTTGTATTATGTATGTGATAAACTGTTTTGTGTTACTGCCATAAAATATTTTGTAAAATTTCAATTTTGGACATATCCTATAAATTAGCCCTTGTTTGAAAAAGGTCCTACAGTGCAGTGTTTTGTTCATTTAATGGCTATAAAGAGAATTTTAGTAGTAGATAGAGAGGAAAAAAACTGTGATTGCATCCTGGTTTGTATCTGTGGGGACTGCTGTGTAAAAATATATAGAAGTAAAACAGGGAAGGGTGCTGTGATTGAGGTGGGGAGACAGGTGTGGTTCGTGCATAAGTCTGATTGAAACCGTTGTTTCAATGTGAGAAGAGAAAGAACTTCTTGTAAAGTTCTTGTAGGACTCATCTACTGTCGATTTCACTTCCAGCCACCATTTTTTGATGTATAATTTAATCAGATAAACCTGGCCATAATATGTTCCTTCTTTGCATTACAGACCATTTTCTGTCAAACCCTCCATTGGGACTCTTGGAATAAATGAAACCACACAATTCACTATTGACTTTTATCCAGAAAAAAGTGGCAACCACTGTAAAGACCTTGTTATACATTATGATACAGGTAAGAACAGGGAAATCATTTTTTTTCCATTTATGGTATCCTGAGATTTCAGAGTCTGGATCCTAGCAGTGTGTCCTACAATTATTCCTTTTTTAGTTCATAATACTAAAGTGACCTATGATTACCTTTCATTGCTGGATTAGATTTTCCTTGCAACTGATGATACTGTAGATAAACCACTCCCAATGAGAGAGAAACTCTGCCATCTACTCTGAGAACTGTTAGGGAGATGTCTTCACCCTCCTCCTCTCACACAATATACCAGCACTACGCTGCCTCTTATTCCTCTGGAATGCACCCCTTCCCTCCAGGAAATTCAAAATACAGGTAGTCCTTGACTTACAACCATTTTGTTTAGTGATTGTTCAAAGTTAGAACAGCACTGAAAAAAATGATTTATAACACTATCAACTGTCCGACTAGTGAATCCAAAATAAGAAAACACTCTCGGGAGCTTTGAAGTAAAACTTTATTAGATACACCATTTTTGGTACTGAAGAATCAAAACCAGCTCTGGTTTTCCCGTGCAAATACTTGCATAGTTAAACAACAACTTCCCTTTCTCTCCACCCCTGGATGATCACATTGCCCAATTATGAGATGTTCTTTTCTTATGGGAACAGTCCATCTCTTTCTCAAACACCTGCAATGGTGACCTTGATGGTTGCCAGGCTCTCATGGTCTACGCACACATTCTCAACATTCTATTTGCCCCTTCCCTCCCCCCAGTTCATTGGCAAATTGAAAAACGTTAAGGTTTGAAAGAAACAAAGTGACGGACTGCTTTTCAAACTTACGACCACTGCTGCATCCCCATGATCATGTGCTCAAAATTCAGATGCTTGGCAGTTGACTCATATTTATGATGTTTGCACCATCCTGGGGTCATGTGATTCCCTTTTGTGATCTTCTGACAAGCAAAGTCAGTGGGGGAGCCAGAGTCACTTAACAATTATGTTACTAACTTAACAACTGCAATGATTGACTTCTGGTTTGGCATTGCGGCGAGACAGTTGGGGAATTAGCGGGCTCTTATGAGCTCCGCAAAAACCCCGGCTGGGGTCTGTGGACCAGAACTGTCCTGCAGGGGAAGAAAGAGAGGCACCTCAGACGACCAAGAGGAACAGGCAAGTTCCTCAAAGATCGGAGGGAACTCTCTATGACTCGGCAGCGGGGGATGGCAGCCATGGCAGCTGCCACAAAGCTGGAACAACCGGACTAAGTATAGAGCTGGAGAGAGGAGAGAACAGAGTTTTTTGAAGCCGGGTGAGTGACAGTCAACCCAGGCATGAAACAAAAACAAGGGAAACATCTTTCAATTATAAGACCTCTAATGATAAATAGCAGCTAAGGAGCGAGGGTGCAAAGAAGACTTTGAAATGTAAATTTAAAGAGACAACAACCCGATAGAAAATTGATTTTTGAATAAACTATTTGGAAACCTTAAACAGTTAGATAGATAATGGTCAAAGGATTGGAAAAAAATAAAGAGATCTTTTTTTTCCTTTCTTCGTTCTTTTTAAATTTTAAGAAAAACAAAGAGAATGGATAATAAGCTTTAAAAAAAAGTGATGTACAAATAAAAGGAAAAAAAGGGAGAAAAAAGAAGTGAAAAGAGCTATTTAAATTTGGACTGGACTTTAAATAAGATTTGATACTTTTAAACCTAAAAGAAAAAGAAAAGCTAAATAAGATTCTTAAATGGATACTTTTTAAACAACCGGAAATTGTGGATTGCAGAGAGACACTATCTGGAGTAAAAAGAAATATTGCAACTTGGTTTTTGTTCTGGAAAATGTGGACTTCACAGATAACATCCGTGAGAATTTATGGGGAAGGATTTTCTTGCCTACAGAAACTTGACTTTGAGAGAAAAAAAAATAAAAAGAAGCTATCATAACAGAACTCTTATAATTGGAATAATATTAACTTAAAAAGGAAAATGGCGCAGGAATTAGAGAAGGAACAAATTGATCTATTTGACTTGGACAATGGAAATAAGAGAAATAACTATAATATTGCACATAGGATAAAAATTCGAGGATACAGAAGCTGAAATGGAGTATACATAAGTGGACAAGAAAATGAAGAAGGAGGAATAAGAGATAGACGTGGAGAATAAAGAAGATAAAGTCAATGCGTTTAAATTACTTACATAAATAAGTAATTGATCATGTGAATAGTAATAAAAAGGAGGTCTCGAGATTATATTGAGATTATAACATAATGATGATTACACTGGGATTAACAGTGAATGATAAAAGAATAAAAGGTTGGAAGATATTAAGGAAAATAAAAACGTTCAGGACTTGGATTTATAAAATGACTATATTGAGATTAATAAATGTGAGAAGAAACATGTTACAGATACTTAGAAATGAAATATGGATTGAAGTTAAAACATACAAGAAATAGACTATGTTAAAAGAAAATATATTAATGGATATAATGAATCAATTTTTTATTAAGATGTTAGAAGGTATTACTTGAGAAAATTGATGGCTATAATAACTGGGATGTTGTTTAAATAACTATAACAATTGTAACAGTTTGAATACTTTTAATAATGTATTTATTTAAGTAAAAGATTATTATGCTGGGATTAACAGTAGAATGATAAAAGAAGGTTTCTAGAGATTACACTGGGATTTACAGTGGGAAAAAATAAAGATGATTACACAGATTAACAGTGAAAAAAAGATGATTACACTGGGATTAATAGTGGAAAAAACAAAGATGATTACACTGGGATTAACAGTGGAATAAAGATGATTACACTGGGAATAGCAGTGGAATGATAAAAGGAAAGGTTAAATTAGACTAAGTAAAAAGAAAATATAATAATGGATATAATGAATCAATTTTTATTAAGATGCTGGATAGTATATTTGAGAAAACTGATAGCCATAATAATTGGGATAAAAATGTTCAATTTATTACAATTGTTATACATATTTGTATAACAATTGTAATAAATTGAACATTTTTTACTTAAGCAAAAAAGAAAAAAATTGAAACAATATATGATTATGATTTATAAACAAAAATTACTTAATTGGTGTTTATAAGATTTAAATTTGATAAAGTAATACTGGAATAAAGATTTAATGAGAACTATATGAAGTAATAAATAAATGTAAGGAAGTTTTAGAAATGGAAATAATTTTGACATGTATAAACATGTTTGAACTGTATTGTTAACAGTGAGGACTTAGGATAAGAATTGTGAAATGTATGGGGTATTAATTGTTAAGATTTAAGGTAGGTTAATAGAAGGGTTGTTGTTTTTTGATTAAGTAAATTTGAGTAAATTTTTTCTAAGATGGTATTAGTTGGAATATGTGATTTAAGACTAAGAAATAAATGATATGACAAAATAGAATATATAAAATTTGGTTAAAGATGACAAAAAATTGAACAAATTGATGACTGGATCAAAGCTCTGTTCTGAAAAGATGTAATTTGTGTGTTTGAAAAAAAAATAAAAAAACTTTTTGCAAAAAAAAAAACAACTGCAATGATTGAGGCAAGAAAGTTTGTAAAATGGGACATGACTCACTTCACAAGTGTTCTGCTTAACAATGAAATTTTTGGACTTAATTGTGGTTGTAAGTTGATGACTACCTGCACTACATTCTTTCACATCAAGAGAGACCTTTCATTTCTTAGGGTTTCCCCCAGAGTACTGCACCCTTTGTTCTTGTTTGATCTTGGTTGGGGGTTCGGGGGAGGGTAACAAAGGGGTTGAATTGCCTCCACTTCTATATAATGTGCTTGACAATGGATGTCCATTTGGGAAATAGTTTGGTGATCTTTTTAGGTTTCATGAGCATCAACAACTGTTTTTCCAAATCTCCAAATCTCAAAAATTTGCTTTTTTGATCAATGTGTGAAGATCAGACTTTGATAATCCATATTCAGAATGCTGTTCTTTAAATAAAGCAGAACCTCCCACCTTCCCACCAGATTATCACCCATTGATTAAAACAACTGACACTAATTTCCCCTTCAAATGAACTATAATCCTAGAGCAGGGTATCAAACTGGCGGCCTGTGGGCCAGATGCTCCATGTGCAGGCCACATCCACTCCAGCTCCATGAAGGGGAAAAACATTGCAAAACGTCACGTGATGGCAACATGATGCCGCCAGTTTGAGACCCATGTCCTAGAGGTTCACTTACTTATACAAGCATAATGTTTTTGACTTATTTAATTATTTTATTATTATTATTATTATTATTATTATTATTATTATTATTTAATTGAATTCTCTCTATTTTTAGGATGCGTGTATGAATTTTTTCGGTCATATTTGTGCAGAAATATTGAAAATTCAAAAGGTTTCATAAACTTGGTTGTGCTAAAAAATTAATTTAAAGAATATGGTTCTTTGCTTGAATTACTGTAAAATAAAATCATGTTTTGTGAAATTAAATCAAATGCTTTTTACAAGACATAGCTAACTTTGTTGATTTTACAATTTTCTGACCTTCCAAGGAGAAGACATTCATGTCAGTTTATATGGAGCTGCTACAGATGTCAATGTGAGACTGGATAAGAACTCCTTGACAATCGAGAAGACTTATATCACTTTAGCAAACCAGAGGTCTGTGGTCATACACAATCGGAGTGATATCATTGCACATTTTCAGTGGAAAGCATTTGCAACACACGAAAAGGAAGAAGAGAAAAAACAGACGTAAGTTTGGTATGATATCTTGTTTTTGAGTAATGGACTATTTATTAAATGTGTTGCAAATTTTACAACACATAGCTGTTTATAATATTTTTGTGTTTCATTTTTTATCCAATTGCAGAATTCTATATTTCTCCCTATTTTTTTCCATCATATTCATTTCAACACTCTACTCACTCTCAGCCTGTTGGTTGAAAATTTTCTTTATTTAGAAGCAACCTTGTTTTTTCCTGCAGATAATGGCTGCATAACTACTAAACTTAAAAATATCATTAATTGCTTTATCATAAATTGCCAATTCACGTTGTCAAACACCTTCTGTGCAAGAAACATCAGCGCCATTTGTTTTTCTGGATGTGCTTCATAATATTTTAATTTGTCTTGATATCCTAAAACATCACTAAAGAATAATTCTTTGCAAGCATAAGGAGAAAAATAATCCAGAAAGGCTTTTTCAAAGGCAACACAAAAATGTTTAAAAGCTTACATTTTTGTAGTTACACGCTTGGGAGACTGATAATTGGTTCAATGAGGGCAGGATCCTAAGCAGATGTGTTCTGCAAGGGAAAAGAGTGCTCAAAGATTACAAAGAATGATTCTGTGATCATTTCTGCTAGTTCCTTTAACATAATCTACCTGGCCAGGAAGACTTGAATTTGTTTAAATTAGCTAAGTGTGGTCTGTGATTGTAATAAAGATTGATTGATTGAGAATCATAGAATCAAACTCATAGAGATGGAAGAGACTTTAGAGGCCTTCTAGACGAACATCTTGTTTAGGGCAGGAATTCTCATAACCTCAGAAAAAATGATGGCCAACCTTTGTTTTTTATTTTATTTATTTAATTTGTATACCGCCCTTCTCCAACAGGACTCAGGGCGGTGAACAGCCATGGTAAAAATACAACATATAAAATTTAAAAACAATTTAAAAAACATTAAATACTTTTGGCCGTCAATTTAAAATAACCCAATTAAAACCAATTATAAATTTAAAACTGTAAGGATGGGGTCAAGCCAGCCCGGCTAGATGGAATAGATGTGTTTTCAGGGCCCGACGAAAAGTCTGGAGGTCTGATACCGTGCGTATCTCTGGGGGTAGGTTGTTCCAGAGGGCAGGTGCTGCCACAGAGAAGGCTCTCCCCCTGGGGGTCGCCAGCCGACATTGTCTGGCCGACGGCACCCTGAGGAGGCCCTCTCTGTATGAGCGAACTGGCCGGTGGGAGGCTATTGGCAGCAGAAGGCGGTCTCGTAAATACCCCGGCCCTAAGCCATGGAGCACTTTAAAGGTGGTCACCAACACCTTGAAGCGCACCCGGAAGACCACAGGAAGCCAGTGCAGCTCGCGCAGGAGAGGTGTCACGTCTCGCCCCGTCGCTCCCATAATCCCCCGCGCGGCTGCATTCTGGACCAACTGGAGCCTCCGGGTGCACCCCAAGGGGAGCCCCATGTAGAGAGCATTGCAGTAGTCCAGGCAGGAAGTGACGAGTGCCTGAGTGACTGTGCGTAGGGAGTCCCGATCTAGAAAGGGACGCAACTGGCGTATCAGCCGGACCTGATAAAAAGCCCCCCTGCCCACGGCCGTCATATGCTCTTCTAAAGTGTATCCAGGAGGATGCCAAAGTTGCGAGCCCTTTCCGTGGGGGCCAATGATTCGCCCCCAATAACCAGCGATGGCGCCAGCTGGCTATATCAGGAGCCTGTTTCTCCCCATCCAGGCCCGCACGGCCTCCAGGCACCGGGACATCACTTCAAGGGCATCGTTGGGGTGGCCTGGGGTGGAGATGTACAGCTGAGTGTCATACTGATGGAACTCCACCCCAAAGCCATGGATGATCTCACCCAGCGGCTTTACATAAATGTTGAACAGAAGGGGCGAGAGGACCGACCCTTGCGGCACCCCACAAACAAGCCGCCTCGGGGTCGACCATTGCCCCCCTGCCAACACAGATTGCGACCGGTCAGAGAGGTAGGAGGAGAACCACCGCAAAACGGTGCCCCCCACCCCCAACCCCTCCAACTGGTGCAACATGATACCATGGTCGATGATATCAAAAGCCGCTGAGAGATCTAACCGGACCAGGATAGAGGAGCATCGCCTATCCCGAGCCCTCCAGAGATCATCCACCAACGCGACCAATGCTGTTTCCGTGCTGTACCCAAGCCTGAAGCCCGAATGGAGCGGATCTAGATAGACAGCTTCATCCAGGTACTGTGGAAGCTGCCGCGCCACCACACTCTCAACAACCTTCGCAATAAAACGAAGGTTGGAGACTGGACGATAGTTAGCCAAAACAGCCGGATCCAGAGAGGGCTTCTTGAGGAGGGGCCTCACCACCGCTTCTTTCAAGGCGGCCGGTAGGACACCCTCACTCAAAGAAGCATTAATAATCCTCTGGAGCCAGCCTCATGTAACCTCCCGGGAGGCCAGCACCAACCAGGAGGGACACGGGTCCAATAAACATGGGGTTGCGTTCAGCCATGCCAGAATCCTGTCCACGTCCTCGGGAGCCACAGGATCAAACTCCTCCCAGATAACACTCTCAAGACCTGCCTCAGTCATCTCGTCTGGACTTACCCAGTCAGAGGCCAGGCCTTCCCGAATCTGAGTGATCTTGTCATGCAGATACTGCACAAAATCCTCAGCTCGACCCTGGAAGTTTGAAAACCTCCAGTGACAAAACATCATAATCCCAGGAGGCAGTCTGTTCCACTGCTTAAATCCTTATTATTTTGAGTCTGTAAAGCTTCTATTATCTAAAGATCCTTGTCCTCCCTTTAGGAGCCTTGGGGAATAAATCCACACCCTGTAATCATCTTTCAAGCATTCAGTGGGGCATGAAAAGATATATACAAAAGACAGATGCAAAATAGGTTTTGTATCTTTTAAAAAGTCCTGTTTTCTCACCATTATTGATTAGCAATTTATCACTTTCTTCTTGCATTCTATGATTTTTTACTCTTATTTCTAATAATGAAAGAGCACATTTTTGCTGTTTTTGGTATCCCTCACAAACCTTAGGTCATTTTGAGCTTTAGCCTTCTAGATATAGTTTCTGCTGTTTCTAGAAACTACTCTCTTTTTTAGTTATTTTACCTTCTTAACATTTTCTGTACATGTCTCGTTCTTTCCTTGGCTTTTGGGAGAGCTTTTGAATATATACGTACTGACCTTCTTAAATTTCTTTCCATTTTTTTTCTTGTGTGGGGTTTTATTTGTATGTATTTCTGCCCTCCTTATTTCCTTTTATGAGAGCTCTGTTAGTCTTAATGGCTAAGGTGCTGGACTGGAGAAGAGACACCTGAATCCTGACTCTTTTTTAGGCTGGGCAACCAACCGAGTGACTTTCACTCATTTAACCTCAGGAGAAAAGCTGCATGGATTTGTCCCCAGGGCTGCCAGGAGTCAAGGTGCCTCTAGGACACAAACAAATCCCCATGCAGAACTCATTTCACAGAATTTCCCATTCATTCTGGACAAGTTTCTCCTTTAGGATTTTAGGTCATTGGAGACAACATACCAGTTTATCAAACTCTGCTCTCCTATGGTTCACCTCCTCACAGATCCAGTCCTTTTCAGTTATCGCTCCTTTGAATATTATGAATGCAAAGATAAACAGTGATCCTCATGGTGTCAGTCCCCGTTGGCTCTTAACCAAGCATTCTTTGGAGTCTGTTACAAAATACGATATTTCATCTCTTTCTTCCTGGGGCTTAGGATGTGTCGAACCCTGCAGGCTGAACAAAACAGTGTGCTTGATCAGCTTCTGGTGGAATGTAACATGAATCCCGCACTTCGTGAGCATCTCTCCACTGTCACCCGTACCTTTGAGAACCGACGGGCAACTGTCCATGAAGATGCAATGCTCTTCAACAATAAAGTCTTCTCCATTGAGCCTCTGGTGAGAAATACCATATGACCAGGGGGTGGGGAGGGGAAAGGGAATAGGGTGGTACGATATATTTTTTTAAAGTTCTTCAGATGTTTTTTATGTAGAGCAGAGCCTTCATTAGGGACCTGAGGGCTCAGATGTGAAAGTTGAAGGAGAGGCATTCCTTCAGATGCTGGAGTGGTGGTGGTGTGTGGATGGCTATGTCAAGCACCAGGGAAATCAAGAGATTCAGGCAGTTCAAATGTGAATAAAGATTTATTGTAAACCTAAGCTCTCTACAAGAATCCGAACTACTAATGGTTAAGGGAAATTAGTGGGAGTTAAGAATAGAAAGGAATTCAAGGTGGGCTGGAGTTAGATCTCTTGTGTGCATGAAGGGACTCATGACGCATTTGACCCCCTTCTTCAGGCTCAGCCTGGTCATCCCCTACAGCCCTTTTCATCTAATACAGAGGTTCTCAACCTGGGGTTCACGACCCCTTTGGGGGTCGAACGGCCATTTCACAGTGGTCGCCAAAGCCCTCTCTCGCCCCCCCCCACGCCTTCACTCACTCTCACCCTCTGCCTCTGTTGGATCGCCCAGTCGCCATTCGCTTACCCCGCCCACTTCCAATCTATTGCTGCCTCTGGAGTCCCAGCTGATGGCTAGAGGGAAAAAAAACTTTAAATTCTTGCCGTGAGGCTTCAAAGAGCTAGCTGCAAAGAGGTAAATTCCTGGAGCAAATTTTTTCCCCCTAGCTATGCTGAAAAGCGAAATTGAAAGTAAAGAAGGGTCTTTGCTACAACGTGACAAAATGAGGCAGAGAGATTTCTTTTTCTTTTTCCTCACCAAAAAAGGTAGGTGCAAAATTGCAAACAATGGGAAATTTAGGGCAAGAGGAGGTTCAAGATTTTAAATCACAAAAGAAAAAAAGCTCTATTTAACTAGGGAATTGTAATAATTGAGATACTATTAATTGCATATTGTGTTGAAAGCAGAAATGGTTAAGTTGTGGTTTGGAAGAATATATGGGGGAAATTATTTGGTTTATTATTATTGGTAAATATAATTAATTGATTTGTAAGAAATTGGATTGCATGGAAATAATTGGAATATTCATGTTCATATTGATTAATATACAAAAAAGATAGTTATATAACTAATTGATTTATATTAAAATGTTGAATTTGTATTAAACAACTGTATTACACAATTAACCAATGTGAGGATGAATATAAAAATAGATGACAATGCGAAGGGGTATAATATAGAATAGAAGGGAAAAATTGAATTTGATTAAGATTAGAGATGAGGATGAAGAGTAATATTGTTTTTTTTAAAAAATAGATGAGGCATAAATATGGTAAAAAGGAAATATAGAAATTGTAAATTTAATTGACTAAATACTGTGTTGGAAGAAATATCCTTCTGGGTTCTGCTCCAAGTGCGGAAAAAGACACTGGAAACATGGAGACTGTTTGAAAAGATGGTTTAATGGTGGACAGGATCACATGGCTTGATGGGGCCCATTGTGTTAGTTTCTGTTGCTATTGTGTTGCAAATGTCCTTTGACAAAGGATTGACTTTCTGCCTCTGGTCCATTAACAAAGAGTGGGGGGCAGGAAGGTGGGAGCTGCTTTGTCTGTAAAATATGCTTCTCCATTTCTCATCCAGGGAAATATAATATTCTGCCTTTTTAAAATTTCCCAAAATATTTCATTCTTCTAGGAAAGGGGTGGGTGCTAACCTCCTACAACTGTTTAAATTTGTGAACCGGCCAAATACTCTGTTCAAAGAAAATACGTTGTATGTTTGTATGTGTGTTTCTAATTATTGCTATTTATTGCTATTTGTTCTCTTTTATTCTTTAAAGTTTAACAATTCATTCTTTATCTTAATATCTTAATATTTGTTTGGGGTTGGCTTTCTTCCCTTTCATCTTTTTTATTGTACAGCAAACTTTCTCCTCAAACCTACCACCTCTGTCTTTTCTTTCTTTCTTACTTTCTCTTCCCCCCCTCTTCTTCTTCTCCCTACTTCCTCTTTCTTTCTCCTTCTCCTCCTCTCTTCCTCCCTCTCTTACCTTCACTCCTACTCTAATTTCCCTTCCCTTCCTTCATCCCTCTCTATTGCTGTATCCTTTTATGCATATGGACTACTCAGAGGGCTGAAAAAGTTATTTTTGACTGGTCCTCGCACTTTTGACCAGTCCTTGAACTTACGACTGTCCTCACAATTTACATTTTTGCCCTATCTTGTCACTATGGTGAAGAGAAGCAGTTGTGAAATGAGTGACATGGTTGTTAAGAATGGTACAATGGGCATAAATGATGACCAGTCATAACTGCGAAGACCGATCAAAAATGCAAAGACCTGTCAGAAATCACATTTTTCAGCCCTCTGGGTAGTCCTTTTATGCACAGGGACTACTCAGAGGGCTGAAAAAGTTATTTTTGACTGGTCCTTGCACTTTTGACCAGTCCTCGAATTTATGACTGTCCTCACATTTTACGTTTTTTGCCCTATCTTATACCATGTTGAAGAGAAGCAGTTGTGAAATGAGTGACATGGTTGTTAAGAATGCTGCACAGGCATAAATGTGAGGATGGTCATAAGTGTAAGGACCAGTCAAAAGTGCGAGGACCTGTCAGAAATGACTTTTTTCAGCCCTCTGAGTAGTCCCTATACACATAGCCATGGCCACCCGGTCACATGACCAGCTAGCCACGCCCACCCAGTCACATGACCTCCAAGCCACACCCACAAAATAAGCACGCCCAAAGAACTGGTAGTAAAAAAATTTAGAACCCACCTCTGGTTGGGGGTCACCACAACATGAGGAATTGTATTAAAGGGTCGCGGCATTAGGAAGGTTGAGAACCACTGATCTAATATAAACCCATTGCTTGAAGCTCTTATCAGAGCTTAAGCAGAACAATAGATTAGATCAGGAGTGAGCAATTGTGGCTCTTTTACAATCTGTGGACTTCAACTCCCAGCCCAGCTGTCTCAGGAATTCTGGGAGTTGAAGTCTACAGGTTGTAAAAGAGCTACAATTGCCCACTCCTGGATTAGATAGACTGAGACTTGTTCCCAGCAAAGCAGAAATGGTGGTGTCTGTCCTACTCACCTTAGTTTAGAAGGGGTTTAAGCTTCCTTAAAGTAACAGACTAAGCGCTCCGGAGTGTTTTTGGATCCATTGTTGCAATTGGGAGTCCAAATGATTTGTGGCACATGATCTTTTAACCAATTTAGGTCTGATGATGCCCTGTAATGCTGAATGAATGGAGAGAGCATTGGGATGGCCCTCGTCCTTTTCAATTACCATAATTAAAGGCTGTTTTTGACGGGCTAGCTAGATTGCTGATGATAGCTGGCAAAGATTTTGCTAATACGGGACTTCCGGTGGCACCGCCGACATTGCTGGACGCTCTCTCTTGGAGCGCCAGCCCTGTGATCTTGTAAAGCCGCCCTGACAGCGCAAATCAGCTGTCTGGCGGCTGGAAAACCTTTCCCCCGGGAGAAGAGGGAAAGGAGAGCAATCGGATGGGGTAGAGCTCCCCGAAAGCCCCTGAAATAGTTTTGGGGGCTTGGAGGGTGAGAGCTCCCCAGGAAGTCCGGTGAAACTCCGAGATCCAGGGCGCTTCTGCTTTAAGCAGAAAAAAATGTCGCGACCACTTCTGCAATTTTTACTGAGATCCAAGTTGATTATACGCAGACGGAGTAAAGACAGGAGAGCAAGCAATCGTAAGTAACAAACTCTTAATTCCACGCTTAAATTGCTACTTTTTGGAGCTGCTTAAAGGAGTGAAGAAAATAGCGCTTGTGCTTATTAGGGTGTGAAAGTGAAAGTTAACTCTCGATAAAGCTGTTAACACCCAGCATTGTTCAAGGTGGATGGACAAAAAAAAAGGCTGGCTTTTTTGAAAGTGATGAAGGCTCACTATTACAAACATCAGTAAAACACAAATACTGATTGAGGATCTTTTTAAAGAAATTTTAGAATCATTTACCTCCGTGTTGGTGGAAAGAATGGTAGTGTTTTTCAACAAGGATTTTATTCAAGTTCGAAACAAAGTTGCAAGTGAAGATACTGTAGCGGTCTTTCAGTTGCCAAATAATAGTGAGTTGCTGAATGAAGAGGTGGAAGAAACAATCCAGTTTAATGTGCCTTTGGAAAATGGAATGGATGTTTTTCAAATTAAGAAGGAAAGGCTGAGAGGTTTGAAGGAGTGTAACCAGGAAATATTGAGAGAGATTTCTCCAGAGGCTTTGACACAGTCAACTGGAAAATTGTCAGGAGGCGTTGGGATTTCTAATATAAGAAGGTGGACTCGAAGTGGAATTTTACAACTTTTTTACAAAAATGGACTCTCAAGCGCAGTTAAAGAGGTGTGTTTACTGAAAGGAATTACTTTGCGAAGAGAACAAGATTGTAAGGTACAGCAATTTCAGCTGAAAATTCAAGAACTTATAAAAATAGATGAAGGCGGAGGAATAAGACTGAAGAAGAAGGTTCGCAAAAAAGTCAGGAAAAAATGGAGATGGAAAAATTACAATCATTTTGTCTGGGGAGGATAGTAGTAGTGAAAATGAGATACCTGTAGATACCCCTAGATACCTGTATCTAGGGATATGATTTGTTTTGAAAATTTATGTTATAGTGAAAATGAATGATTTACTTATAGCTAGGGACATGATTTGTCTTGAAAAGTTATATTAAGTAATGTTATGTTTGAATTGTTATGGGTTACTGACCAAATTTTCATTTTTGTTTTGAAATATATTAATACTAAAGTGTAGAGAATAAGATGAATAAGTTTATGCAAAGTTATTAAGTAAGGAATGTTTTCAGGAAGAATCAATATAAATTTATGGGGTAAAAAGTAAAAGTAAGGTTTTTATAATATAATTTATTTGAGATTAGTTAAAATATTTTGTTAATGTCTTAATATATGTAAGGGTTGGAGATGTGATGGTTAATTGTAATTGGGCTCTGATTGTGGAATGCTGGAAGAAAGAAGACTTG